AATAACAATAATAATAATAATAATAATAAGTAACATTCATATAGCGTTAATTCCGTGTAGTTCATTAGCACTTCACAATTTGAACGAGTAAATAAAAGCAAAACAAATTAAAACAATAAATATTTACATCAGAAATCATAAGTTAAAAGCTCCTTTAAATCAGTGTGTTTTAAGTGCTTAGTTAGATGAAGATACGGAAAATTGCGAATGATCTCTGAGCTTATCTGACAAGGCATTCCATTGGGTAGGTGCAGCAACTGAGAAAACTCTAAAGCCATGACAGACACATGAAAAGCTGACGTCAATTTGTTTTTTACAATAACTACATCGCATGAATTATAAATTCACGTGTCTGTCCGCGCTTTTTGTCAATGAAAGTTAGCCAATGGGCGCGTGAGAATTTATGCAGTTATATTAAAATTGTAGCACTATCCAGTTGCGACAGACGAACTGTAAACCGCGAAAACTCGAAACTATCGAAACACTTTTAAAATGCCATCCATCATCACGCCATGATCATGCTGACTCCATCATACGATGCACATTGCCAGGGATGTAAACTTCGGTCAGTGTAGAATGCAGCACGAACCTGTTAAGTTTAGGAAGGAATGGCAAGAGCACATGACTTCTTAAAATTACCTGACGAATCCACAGGCTAACTTGCATCAGCTGATTTTTTTCGTCCTGAATATTACGTAAAACAAAGCTAATTAATTGGAGGATATACAATGCTTGCAAAATTAAAGATTACAGCGTTATGTTAAGCATGTAAAAGTCACTCCAGGGATACAGTAAGGGGAAGGGGCAGACAAAAGGGTTCGAAGAAAAAGGAAAGGGAAGAGATGTACGGAATAATTCACCACCTGATACAATGAGTTATAAGTGTGTGTATTCTCTTGCACAGCAGCTGTAACACACCCGACCTGGTGAAACCCAATCTGGTTGGCTATTTTAATTTTACTCTCCCTGGTGCATGGAATGTTGGCCTCCCTGGCCCCTGGTCAATTTTATTTCTCCCTGGTGTAGAATTTGCTTTCCATCCCTGCAAGAAAAGGTGACGAGTTTGGAATTCCGTTATTGTTTCTTCAGTTTAATATGTTGGAAAAAGCAAGAACACTAGAAATTGCGTTTCAGAGTGTAGATACGTAAAAGTGAAATCACTGCATCGAAATTATCAATGACGCTGAACATTCTATGCCTATGTTTTTGCCAAAACAGAGTGATATGATATACAGGTAAGGTTTGATTACATTTTAAACCAATGACCTCCCTGATGTTGTTTTGGTGAAGAATTGGATCAACCTGTTCGATTTTTGTCCGCCTTTGGTAGAGTTTTCGTCAAAAACCTGTTGAACAATCAGGTTTCACCAGGTCTGTTACGTACAGAGGGGTGTTGTAATGAAATATAACAGCATTACAAAATTATTTACTAACAACACTTGAGGAACATTAAATGAAATTTCAAGAATTAAAACTCTCACCACATTGATAATTTGATGCAAGGAGACCCCAAGCTTCACAGTAACTTTATCACTCCTGTTTAGAACAGGTCTTAATTCCGGATTGTACTCAGTATGAAATAGGTTCTGTCTCAACCTGGCTTCTGCACTATCCGACTGATTCTTCTTTCCGTTTATTTCTGAAAGAGATTTCACGGTTTGTAACAAGAACTCCTTGATTGTAGCTCCATATGCCGCATAAAATGCCCCCACGGGGGGATACTCCCTATATAATGACCCATACGGGGAGCTCCGTCCGAAAGGGGATACCATCGTCAGGCTTCAGGTATATAAAAGGGTAGGTATTTCACAAGTTGAAGTACATGAAAGGGTAGGGAAATCTGTCATTTAACTCCAATGTGAATTCGAACATGAACTGAATATAAAATAGTTGTTTTTGGCCGGTTAACATCTCTTCTGGCTATGATTGATGTTCTCTGGCAATATTGTTTATTCTTGTTTCTTGTTTTATTTTTGCCATTTATAATTGTAATAACTACATCAATGTGTATAATAGGCAAGGAAGCCCAGGGAAACCAATAAGGTTTATGTAAAGAACTACCTGTTAGATACCTAAAGTCTTAACAAAGGTCTTGAAAAGGGATGCAATGTTCTTAAGAAGGTATGTGAAAGGGATGCCTTTTTCAATAAAAGGTATGCAAAAGGGGTTCCTTTTCTGTCAAAATGGTATACGAAAGGGTAAGGGATATGATTACACCTTGGGGCGGAGCCTCCCCGTATACAACTTACTGGAATACCCCCNCCCCGGGATGAAACGTGTGCGTCAGGTAATTCTTACAAGTGCGATTTTCATGATCACAACATGTAAGCTCATGCGAGAAGGCAGTGTGTATTGCTGTTATGTACTTTTATGGAAGAGTAGCGGTCAGATGATGATCCTGTAGTCTGTATAGTCTGTAGTTATAGTCTGAGGGTAACACAGAACAGTAATCACTCGGAAAAACCAGTGGCCGTCATATAAATATTTACAGAAGAAAAAGATGACGTGTTAAAAATTAAAAATATAGAAAGATTCTCAAATATGCAACAATAATATATATAAAAAATTAAGATATGAGACACACTAAAATAAAAGCAAAGAATTGGATCACGATCAAGTCTAACAATTAAAACAAGAAAATTAAAAATTTAAATGATAAAATGGTCCAATTCCTTATAACTGTCCATAAAATGTTTAAAATGGATTAGGTTGGCTTTTAATATGGGCAGGCATCATATTCCAGAGGCGGCCATTCGATACTGAGAACTAAAAGACCTTCCACCCTCAGACTCCCGTTTGAATCGGGGGCAGACAAGGTTTAATTGACCTCGCCTGCTCGTTCTTCCGTTCGCGTCTGCATTTTTCACAAGCATCTGGGCAAGATAAGTTGGGCACTCCCCTAAAATCGGTTTGTATACCAATATTGACTTATTTATTTTCGCTTCATGGTAAAATAGAGCCCAACCTAATTGAGTTACATGCTAAAAATATCCTGCCTTTATAGTGGCTGGTGATTTTCCCGAGCGATAGCTAGAGGCAAACTCGCGAGAGGTATGCGACCCAACGGTAACCCTATGGAGGCTAGTATTATCAGTGGCTACCACGGCCAACGATCATTTTCTCAGAGATAACGATTGTCATTTCTTTCCATCCAAAACGTCCAATTCACCTTTTCTCGCCAAGTTCAAAAGCAATATTTCAAAGAGTGATTTAAGTCAATGAGAAATTTCATGAAATGTTTAGTTAACGTCAAAGATTGAAACTCTGAAAGCAAAACATTGATTGAGCTTATCTGATACCAAACGTAAATATAGGAAATTGAACGCTTTCCTATTGTAAACAGGTCAGTTTAGATGATTTTGTTACTTGTGTGCACGTCACATATTGAAACTGAAATACGTCTCATTTTTAATTTAAAATCGTTATTTATCATACTCGTGTAACCGGCGTGAGCGACTGTCACTTTTACAATTGTGCGTGCTTAATGTCCGTTTCGGAGTTTGTCTTAATAGTGTTGTTTGTGCAAGGATTAGAAGCTTGATTTAAGATAACCTGTATTGATATGTGCAAAAATACATTGAAAACACACGCCGGTGGATTTCCTTTTGATACTGAAGTACAAGGTTTTTAAACGTGTGGCTATTCAAAATTCAACTTTACAACGGAGAGCAATGCTGTTTTTCAGTTTGGAAATTTTAGATTATGTGTTTTTTACTGGTGGCTGAAACTATTTTCATCAACTGACCACATGAAATCTGTTTTCTTTATCCTGTAACAGAGATGCTCATCGAATAAATATTTACTCCTCTTGATAAAAGGTTGCTGTTTCACAAAAGATCTACGATCTGGTCACCTTTGAAATTAAATTAATTGCCGTTTTCTAACCAGTGAAAACTCAGAATGTTTCTGAGTACCGCATGGGTATCGAGAAGTTTAAACTGACTTGGAAACATTACTCGCATGTAATAACCATTTTCCCCGTGTTCATGATATTCTACCAAGTGGTATGTCAATAGCTGACCTTATTTTGACTTTGTTGCATACTGAGGGGAACGTACTGACAGCAAATTAATTACGTTTTGTCAAATATATGAACGCCACACTATACCGCACTGATACTTGACTAATACCCGTCTAAATTGAAATCAATTTTGCCCTAAAACAAACCAATAATCGTCAGCTGATGGCAAGAGAAATACCTGGTTGTTCGCATCGGCAAATTCTACCACGAAATAACACAGTTATGTGTTTATGAGACTACCAGATGACCGCAACGAACAAAGATCAGTCTGTATTATTTGGAAGAAGTTGTAATGGGTTTATATCTAGTATATATTAAATTGTGTTTAATTGTATCAAAGGCTGTGAAGCATGTAGGTTTCATACGACTTGTGACCGACTGAGGTTATCAGTGTGCATGCTCTGTGACAACTTCAGAAGTTGTGGAATATCGCCTGGCATTGTTTCACTATTGAGAGAACCTTTGTGAAATGTACAACTGTTACTGTTTATGTCTGAGGTAACCGCATTCCTTGCCATACTAAAGTACTTTCTTTGTTTATTTTTTGTAGTTTAAAAAAGGCTCTGAAGACTGATCAAAAATGACTGAGGACGGTTAGACTTCTCTCGTCCACCACCAAGCCTAGCGACACGAGGATAATGTGTACAAATTAAGGTGTCGCATTAAATGAAGAAAGCATTACAGACCCATCAAAGCAGCTGTGCAATTTTGTTCGACCGATTGTATGTCACATGCGTTGTATCACTCGCTAGATATATATTTATTACAAAATGCCTAAAAGCAGTCCAATACTTAAACTGAAGCTGCCCTTCCCATCTTCGTGGACTTGGACTATACAACTGTTAAGAAATGAATGAATGGGTTGATGCAGATGGAGTAGAACACTCCCCTAAATAAGTATTTGATCAATGCCCCAACTCCACTTGACCAAGAAAATGTGATGTAAGTCTTAGTGAACATAATCGAAAATTCAAATCGGATAAGTTAATAAAGTTCGCTACCCATTACCTTTTGTTGAAGATGTTACAAAGGTCTGAGATAGAAAACTCACAAACATCCACGTCAAGAACTTCATCTTGCTAATCAAGTGTGATCGCCGATCACTTTTGAGGAGAAAATACATTGACCCTCTTAAGCCGATCGCCTCTGTCAATATTTTCCTGGCGTCCCATAGGATTCAGTTTGATTGATTTCAACACGTATCTTGCCGCTGCATCAGAGTGTACAAAGTCACCGGAAATGTGTCGCAAAGACTAAAACAACTGCATTGTTTATTCATTCGTAATTGAGTTAGAGTTCACGCTATGATCCAACCAAGAATGTAGATAGGATGTGGTTTCTTTTTGGTTGACGGCTTCAATTTGAGCTGCTGAGAACTGTAAAGGAGTTATAAGGCCAGAAAGATATAATTTCTTTCACAAATGAATTTTTGGGATAGAGGTGTTAGGTACAGATCATAAGTGGAAAAACCTTTTACATCTTCCTCCCACTCACATTTATCCGTAGGATTAAAATACCAAATCTCTTTTCCAGTCTGTGTTCGTTTCTAATTTTTATCCTGCTATTTAAGGAAGCTCACCTGAAAAATGTATTAGAGTTGACTGAACTATTTTTGTATGGGATTTAATTTGCGTTAACTGCCGCGCATTAAATAATCTTGAAATTTAACCAAAGTCAGCTCCGATCCTTATTGGGTTGTCTATCAAACAAGAAAAGTCTTTAGAGAAGCTTGGCAACTGATTTCCTTCGAGAACCGGGAGCCTTGCAATTGTCTTTCGAGAAGACGAGGTTTGGATCGTATCTACTTTTTCTTGTAGACTGTTTAATCGACAGCCAAAAGCAATGTCATTGGGAAGTATTTCAATTACAGTACCATTACTCCTTAAGCTAATTTTATCACCTGTTTTAACTAACTATCCATCTAAACGCATCGTGGGACATGTCGCCACCCATGTTTTCGTCTTAAAAGACTCATTTTATTTATGGCTTTTATTGAATTAAAGTTGATTTATCCGTCTGTAAAAACATCGAAGTCTTCTTTACAGATGGCAAAACAGTCTCTATTGTGGTGTGTTCCCGGAGTCCTCAGCCTTGTGTTCCAGCACGTCTTGCGAAAAGGTTTGTGTCACACCTGATTCGTATGCAAAAACTAGTTCAAAACACTGCCTCGGCAAGCAATTTCACGAAATCGATAATCACAGAGTTTTCCTCCTGATTGCGTTGTGATCATAATTATAACAGCATGGATTTGATCCTGAAATTTAAAGACAGACAACTATTGAAACTAAACTCTAGAAGTTGCTTTGTAAATAATCTATGTAGTCGGATTGTTTAGGGGCACATTACTACGAGCGAGTCGTACAAACTGTATTGACCGGCAAACAGGCGGAAAAGACATAACTGGACGCATTATAACAGAAGAGATAATTCACTTGGCATGGCCGCGTCGATCTACGGCATCGATCTAGAAAAATCTGTGGTGATCGATCAAATAAAATAACGCCTCAAGTGCGCGGCTACTGTCTCGACTGAACAGTCCCTCAACGGCTCCATGTCTTGTCAATTTCACTGTTAAAAAAAAACAAAAAAAAACCAGTCGTACCCAGTCGCTTTTTACGTGTTTTTGGATATTAGGGTGGATTAAGGGGCGCGCTTCGACCCTTCCCATGACAACTCGCGTGCCTTAATCCACCCTTAATCTAATCTTCTGTCCCCAAAAAAACACGTAAATAGCGACTGGGTACGAGTCTGGTACGGGTGATCATGGTACTTACCGTTCATACCATAAGCAGTTTACTGCACGTTTAACCCCTAGGTAAACAGCAGCCTCTCCTCGCGCCAAGTCTCTCTCTCCTTTCTTGTTTTTGCTCCGCCATTTCTTTCGCGCTGCGCCTCATCCGACTAGACGCCTGAAAGAGGCTAGGTTCATTGCACACAGCTTCTCCTTGTTCTCAACGCGAGAGCTTTTTTTATCGAGTTGAACCATTCGAGAAACTAAAGATTAATTCCGTGTGATGTACTCAGCAATTACCCATGTAAACTCCATTGCAATGATAGGGGGTGCAGGATATTTTTGCCATGTAGGAAAAGGCAACAATTTAAAATAGCTGCAATGAAAGTATGTTTGGGATACGGAGATATTTTCTCCATGCCTATTTCTCCCAATGCCTGTCGGTCACTGGCGTGCGCCCCGCATTCCTTGCCATTACAGATTAGATCAAATAAACCAAACGGGAGTGTTGTCGGAGCACGGGATATCGGCTAGTTAGGTTAGTGGTATAATTAAGTGCCTGTAAACAAACTGCGCGGTATATTGCATGTTTTGATAAAATTCTGATTGTGGCTTACGGTTCAATAGCTGATAACTATAGACTGTTACGTGAATAGTAAGCAATTTTAGGGAGTGAATATTATTTTCGAATCGTTATTCCGAAAAAAAAAAAAAAAAAATTCTACACTAGTAAAAATGTTTCTCCAACACCGTGTGCCTTCTTCGGCTACATGTACTTCGAGCCGGTCACATGACTTTCACCGAAGTGAAGCTGTTTCCCGCCAAAAGTAGACAACATTGCATGTTGGCCGACCACTATATAAATGTCTTTGTTGTGCTAGTATAACAAATCATTTTGTTCCCTTCGATTGTTCACTCTTTGAATCCACGATTTGATTTGAGATTCTACGAAAACAAAATTAACGGTTTTCTTGCGAGACCAGTCATTAAGTGTTAAATAGACTTTAGCAAGTAATAGCAGTTTATTACGGTATAAAAATTTACATACCATTCAACTAATAATATGAAAATAACATTATTCAATACGAAAATATTCCTCCATTATGCCATAAGGAGCAACGAAACTTTCCAGGATTACATTGTAAACCATCTAAACCGTAAGAGAATTGAATATTATGGCAAAGTTCTCACTTAAAACCAAAAAAGAAAAACTTTGTTGTTAATTTATTTAACTGTCTGGGCTCTAACCATCCTGGGGAAGGCAGAACGGATTAAAATACGCAAGGACATAAAATGTCGCTTGGAAGCTTGTCTGTTGAATATACATAAAACTAACCACAAGGTTGAAACGTTACCTTTAACTAGCTTAATTGGTATGGCTGGGTATCAGATAAAAAACAGAAAACTTCAGCACTTTCGTTACGCATAATATCTTTCTTAGAAGACTCTTACCTCAGATAACTAAAATCGCGAATTTACTATTCAATATCGTCAACCGTGGAGTTGTTCCTAACGTTTCCATGGTAACTTAACCATTTCAAAATTTCGACGAAAATTATTCAATACACTACAAATGAATTAACATAATGTTCCATTAAATTTGTTTTCACAACTTTCATTTAAAGCTAAAATGAGTTGGCTTTGCAAAACCCATCAGCAAGCTCCTTGTAACTTAACTGTTACTGTTGCTTCACGGCTAATATCGACGAGTTTACATGTCTTCAAGAATAAACTATAGCCGAGCTTTAATAAAACGCGCCAAACCCGTTAAGTTGTTCTGGGTTATGGCATGAAACCTATTAATTCCACCGAAGATCCTCGGAACGAATACGATCATCTTCGGAGATCTTCGACTCATGTCGACAGCTACTTTAGAGAATTAGTATATGACCGAACTTTATTATTTATTCCAAGAAGGGTTGCCGTGGGAAAACCAATGAAATAAGTATAAAGTAGCTTGAACAAAGCTGTTATAAAATTTTCTCAAACGCTCTTCCCGAATAAAATGTGTTAATTGTCTAGCGCCTTTATATTTAATATTATTACTCTGCCTCATCGTCCGTCATTACTTGAACTAAAGATTCCACAGCTTTGTTGACATCTTTTGCCGTTGCAAACAAATGACCAACGGGATCTGCACCTGGATAATGACATAAAATTGCAGCAGTTTAACTACAAAGTCTGAGGAACACAAGTTTAAACTATAATGCTCTCAGGGTGAGATTAGGTGCCTGAAAAAAAAAATTTTTCCAGACAAAAAATACATCTGCAAGACCCGTATTTCCATCGACAAGTTGCCAAATGTTATCTTGCACGTTTAATAACGCAATGCATAACGAGAGTAGAATGATGGGTCTGTTTCCCAATTGCAATAAATAAGAGCAGGAGCCTCGCTAAAAGCCCTCGCAGAAGAATCTGCTTCGTTCCCAAAACTGATATATGCATGAAAAGATAGATATGATCCTTTGCGTTCGAGTATGCTTATAACAGTAATTGAATCATGTAAAATATCACAATGACTCTTCTTACTAAGCTAAAATTATTACAATGTGCAAGTTACGGGTTAAGAAATTGGTAGTATATCATGATGCAGTGCACTTGGTAACTGGTGCAGGTGGACACAGAGAAGAAAATAGTGTTGTGTGACAGTGCTCTATTAAATTAGTTGGTCACGTAACATTTTTTTCCCACGAAGAGCGTTGCGTGACAAACCCAACAATGCTCGAAAAAGATGCACAACTTAGAGAAGATAGAGTACAACATGACGATTTCTCATAAAGAAAACGAGGAAATTTCATGCTGCAACTTGGGATGCAATGATTTTCCAGGAAAAAAAAAAACAGCAATGGCAGTTTACAAAGCACTGCTGACAAAAACGTTGTCCTCGACATTGCAAATCAGATTAAGAGGCCAATTGGTGTGTGTTACGGAAAGTCTGAGACTGGTTTAAGTTTGGTAGCATAACATTTCTTACCAGTCAACAGTCATGTAGTGTTAGATTCCACTGGTTAGGCCTCAGCAGACACTACACAAGAGTTAACAGCATTAGTCACTGACAAACAAACATCAAACAACAAACAAAAACACGTTTTACCGTGCCTCCTCACTCACTTTTCTGATCCGGAGGGAAGGATGAGCTGATCTGACTCATGACTTCTTTCAAAGCAGGATCTTCATTTCCTTTGCTGGAAATTCCGTTGGTAACCGGGCCTGGGGCTATGGGGCTTGTTCCACCGGGCTCCGATTCGGAATCACTATCGTTCCCGCGGGATTTTCCAGATCGCGCGGACTTGCCGGGGGAATAGGGCCCGTCTCCTAGCGAGCTGATCGAGGAAGACGGCGTGGTACGTTCCGAGGACTGGGCCCCGCTCTGTTTGTCTTGGCCGGGCTGCAGTGAAAACGAAAGATGAAATGCATGTGAGATAAGAAGAACAGCAAAGTATCGAAATACCAATTACTAGTTGTCCAGTGTACTATTAATAGGGATCTCCTGAGCTCTTATACAATGGCAGAAAACAATGCTTCAAAGAAATGCCCTGTTGCGACATTTTTGTTTTTTTTTTTCTGATTTGCAATAGACACATGACATTTCCGTTTATCAGTCGTGCAATCTCATTCCATCCTGGCCACCTTGATTCACGCTTTCTTCCCTAAGAATTATGCTTAGATGAGGAACTAACTTTTCTCCATCAACTTGAGTCCATGTTTTTAGACCCCGCGTCATTTTCGGAGATTCAAAGAACCAAAACATAAGTTAGATCCACTGAAAAACGATTGCACCGCAGATTTAGGGTATATCTAAACGCCCCCGCTTGCTGACAACGCCATTACTAAATGTCTTTAGGGTCTAACATAGATGTAGCATTCAACACAAGATTCTCCATAGTTTAAGTCTGCATACGAGCCAAGTGGCCCATCAGGCAGGCGCTTATCTCCGGTTTCTGTAGCATCAAGCGACTAGGATTATTTCTACTCCCCCCCTGGATGGGATGCTAGTTCGTCACAGGGTTACCCCCAACATTAAATTCACCGATACCCATTTATACACGTGGGTGGAGAAAGACACTGTGAGAGTAAAGCGTCTTGCCCAAGAACACAACACATTGTTGCCAGCCAGGGTTCGAACCCGGACCGCTCGATCTGGAGGCGAGCGGTCTAACCATGAGGCCAGCACGCCTCTCGCAAGATTCCCCAAACCCACATTTAAGGCCAGAGTCACAATCATATACAGAACTAACACTGTACCTGATCGAGCAGTTGTCTGAGACGTTGTAGCTGCGCCTCCAGTTGTCTGTTATGATCTTCTAATACTTGCATCCTAGCCTCCAGTCGACCTTTATGCTGACGCAGCAGTTTAGCTTCTGCCAGCAGTTCGGAGTCTCGATTCTGTGGCCCTCCCGGAGAGGTCTCCCCGTCAGAGGGAGGGACAGACTGGTCTCTAATGGATTTGAGACGTTCGTATTCCTCTTGGAGGTCCCTGAGGAAAGCAAAGTAAGTGGTAATGAAACGTTGATCTCTGGCTGGATATTTTGATTGCTACCAACTTAAAATGGCGATAGTTAAGCTGTGCATTTTACTCAAAGAATAAAGCCCACCTATTTTCTTCCTCTAGTTTGAGAAGTTCAGCTTCTAAATCCTCTTTTTCTACCGCATCCAGTGCCATCACAATTTGGGTCGGGCTTTTAGGCTAAAGAAGAAAGAAAGAAAAACGCACTTAGCTAAAACAAACTCTTAAGTTGCCGATAAATAAATCACTGTTGGCATCAGACAAAACTCAAAGCAATACACTCACTGAGAAGCTTACCGCTTCCGTTGTATCGCTCTTCAGGCTGCAAAGGGAAAAAGAAAACGACCATTATTGCCTTGGTGAAATTCGCAACAGTGTAGTGAGTGTAGCTAGGCAGAAATTCACTCAGAAACAAAAGACAGACGATATGAGTGCTGGAATGGGCGAAGCTGAAAGCTGAGATGAACTACAATTTTGAGTAAGTGAGAGAAATGGTAGATACCTTTGACAGTATTGCGCTATAAGCTGATGCTCTTCGTCCCTGCAAAATACAACACACCAAGGTTACAATAAATGCCAATGTATGGATGAAGCAAAAATTTTAGCAGCGATCAAAAGGAACAACGCTTTTCTTGCCGCAAGACGGCCAGTCGAGACACATCATCGCCTCACAGAAGGCACGTAAGAGCCAGAACACCATGTAACAATTGAAAAAGGAAAGGAAAAGAAATGTCAGCACATCCACACGGTAAGCAAAAAAATTAGGAGCTAAAATGTGCATTTGAGTGAGATGACAAAAAATCAAAACTCCATGGTTATCAGCAAGTACTAGTTTAGAGGTGATAAGACTTACAACTCATGTGGATTGTATTTTCCTCCTTCTGATTCTGCTTCGGCCAACCTTCAAACACACAAGACAAGAAAAATACACTTTCAGTTATGTCTATTATGTTCTACACGCGCACGAACAAATCCAAAGCTGGAGAACTGAACACACAGACTTTCTTTGATAAACAACATCCTTCAACTGACGATTTTCTTTATTCTCTTAACAGACTGCTGGACAATGCACTAATATTGTACATGTTGATTATATCACTCACCTGTGAGCGAACATCCCCAGTCGGTTGTGTACTTCGTTATTCACATTTTGCTGAGGGGATGGCATGGGTGGTCTGCAACAAACAACGAGAATACAAGTTAAAATGATACACACCATAACAAAGAACGGTTTGGTTCCACTTAACACAAAGAGAACACACTTAACGGGGTTGCTAAGCAACAAGACAAATCTCCATGGCGACAAACTCACCTAACAATAGGTTGAATGCGGTGACCTAGCTAATTTTGATTGGTAACAAATTTATTTTGTACACTCAGAGTATTTGCCAAAACAGTATTTCAACCTCTGTACTTACGTCTCAAGATTTCCTCCTTCCATCACAGTCTGAATCGGCAGATAACCAAGTTTTCGTGGCGGTTTATTCTTGTAACGCCTTTTCTTGAATTTGTTTCGAACCATGGCTAAGAAGTCCAGCACATCCTCACCAGACGTGGTCTTAAAAAAGTAACAGAAACATTCACGATTAGCCTACAAATTCTCCATACTGGCGGCCGTCACACATTTGCTATGCAGGGAGAATTTAGAAAATTACGTCGCGAGGTAATCTCGGTGATGACTTGTCGTAACCAACAATTATTGCACAACAGATACAGAGATACTTTTAGAGATACGTTTAGATCATTTGTCTTTTCAGAAATCTTTCACCGGTAAAGTGAACGCGACGAGAGGGTTGGCAGATTGAAAAAAAAGTTTTCANCTCAGAGTATTTGCCAAAACAGTATTTCAACCTCTGTACTTACGTCTCAAGATTTCCTCCTTCCATCACAGTCTGAATCGGCAGATAACCAAGTTTTCGTGGCGGTTTATTCTTGTAACGTCTTTTCTTGAATTTGTTTCGAACCATGGCTAAGAAGTCCAGCACATCCTCACCAGACGTGGTCTTATAAAAGTAACAGAAATCTTCACGATTAGCCTACAAATTCTCCATACTGGCGGCCTTCACACATTTGCTATGCAGGGAGAATTTGGAAATAACTTCGCGAGGTAATCTCGGTGATGACTTGTCGTAACCAACAATTATTGCACGACAGATACAGAGATACTTTTAGAGATACGTTTAGATCATTTGCCTTTTCAGAAATCTTTCACCGGTAAAGTGAACGCGACGAGAGGGTTGGCAGATTGAAAAAAAANTCGAACCATGGCTAAGAAGTCCAGCACATCCTCACCAGACGTGGTCTTAAAAAAGTAACAGAAACATTCACGATTAGCCTACAAATTCTCCATACTGGCGGCCGTCACACATTTGCTATGCAGGGAGAATTTAGAAAATTACGTCGCGAGGTAATCTCGGTGATGACTTGTCGTAACCAACAATTATTGCACAACAGATACAGAGATACTTTTAGAGATACGTTTAGATCATTTGTCTTTTCAGAAATCTTTCACCGGTAAAGTGAACGCGACGAGAGGGTTGGCAGATTGAAAAAAAAGTTTTCACAGTTGACTCACGACCTGTAGTACGTGATCTACAAAACACTCAGTTTAGATGTCAATCAACTTGGAGAGCCGCCATCACTTACCGACAAACAGTACTGGTGCATTGGATGAGTGAGACGGTGCTCATGGGAGACTCGGCCCGACCAGAAACAACTCTGAAGAGAAATGACAAAATGAACAGTTACAACTCGAACGTGAATTCTTTGGTCGCAAATAATTCCTTAAGTTATTTAATGGTTAAATCCAAAAATGATGCAATTTCATGTAACGTACCTGGCATAAATCGTAGTTGAAACATTTCAGACACCGGAATCTACGTTAAACAAGAACTGAAATTAGCAACTTTAATTTACTCTTCATTTATGCGAAGCAGTAGGCAATAAGAAACACAAGAAAATGATAATAACAAAGAAATACACAGACAAAAAGAGTACCACAAACCTGAAGCCGACAATGGGATACTCTTTACAAATGCTACATTTGGCTTTGTGTTTCACTGTGAGAAAAAAAATATAAAAAGCACCGGTAAATTACTTAAATAAAAAAAGAACCACCGTTCAACTTTTCCGGAGACAAAACGAAGAACCTGTACTGATTGCATGGAAGTGGGGAAAATCGAAAGTTAATGTGACTTGAAATTTCCCCAATTTCGTCTTGATTAAGTCACATAGCTGACACCGAATCCACACACATGGCAAAATAGGGTTTGCAAGACAAAGCGCCCAATCGTGTCTTAGCAAATAACAAAAATGCCGATCTGCACAATCGCATCATAAACCCAGCCAACATTGACAAACTATTAAAATCACCACTGATTGTATTTTCCGGCAATTTTTGCTCAATTTTATTTCATCTCATCAAATGTTATATTCTCGTCACCTCAGAATTAAAATTTGTGTGCTTGACACTGACTCTTGTTAACGTTAGAAACAGCGTTAATAAAACTTCCAAGACGTTTCGACCAAACAACTTCGGCCTTCATCGGTTTTTCAAAAAGCCAACTGAGTGACGGCTTTCTAACGGTTCACAGATCTGTGCGTGCTACGTCAGCAAAAACATAACGAACGACCGCTGCGCGTGATTACGCGAGGGATTTATAAACGTCCGGGATATCAATATGTTCGTTTCCCGCGTTGTTGTCTCTCTGCGAATACCAAGCCTCGAGAATAAGTCTCTCGTGAAAATTACGAGCCTTGTCTACAATTGTCGCATGGTCGAAGTCACCTATTTGGTGTTTAATGCATAAAAACGGTAATGAGAGATCACATATTAATCAGTAAATTCACGTGACTTACCAGCCTCAGACGCAGCGAGTCTGTGAAGAGTAGGAAGCCAGACAATTGATTGAGGTTCAACTGAGAGCCAAGACATGAACTGCGCGCAGTCAATAGTTTGCTTGGCACCCGCCTGTTCAAGAAAGACAGTAAAAATGTGAATTACACTAAATGTGTTACGTCCATTACTTTGTTATACATCACTCTAGGCCGAGCCGAGTGTATATTTGAAAGCGTATACAACGATAAACTCTTCGTCAACAGCAAGTTGTAAAATCTTCAGAGAAAATAGACGATTGCAATCATAATTTCTGACATCTTTTACGTGGTCTTTGACGTGGTCCTTTTTCTCTCTTATTCTCTCGTCTAGCTAACTTAGATAATACTGTTAAAGTAATAGTAGCTCCCCTAGAATAGCTTTGCTAGCCACGAGCTACTAAGGCTTGTATTCCAATTATATAGTTACTGTTACTGTTACCGTAGTTCCTTGCTTACCTTATTGAAACAGCTTCTTACACTCGGCTCAATATTGCTTCCACCAAAAGCCGCGATTTCTCCCAGCTGTCGAGGAATCTACAAGACAGATGGTGAGATTCAGGCTAACGCTAGGTGTACAAGAAAGGCACTGTAATGAAATTCATAAATGGTAGATGTTATCAGTGCCGGCACTTGAGCTCAGCTTCACCCCACATGAGCACAGCAGGAGTACTGCTATTCCCCTGAGTGAGATGCTAGTCCATTACGTTTGCCCTCCCCTCCCCTAACATTTTCTCAGGTTTCCCCAATAGTTTGAAGGTAGAGGGTGGGGAAGGGCACTCATCGCCCAACAAGAGGACGAAGCCACCAAGGGCCACCACGCCTCCTACTCCTATGCCACCACGCCTCCTAATAAACTACACATTCTGGAATTCATTCACAGTAAACTAGTGTTGACTGAGAGTCGTGAAGCACATTTTTTTTACCTGTAGGGAATCGTGTAACAGCAGACCAAGTTGTTTGTGGTCCATAAGGCTATTTTCATCCGTCACTAAACGGTACATATCTACAGAACAAAATATCAATAAGCCTGTTGTTTTAGAGCGACCAGGAAAGCAGCACAATTACTTCAAACAACAAGTAAGAGAATACATAAATGCGCAGTACTTACATTTGTATTTGTCCTCCAGATGAGCTCTAGCCATTGTAACAAGACCAATTTTGAACGAGAGTACACGGATCTTTCCTACTCGGCCGCTGAAAGAGCAAGACCATGTTTAACGTTGCATGCAACCTGTACGAACTACAAGGGTTTGAAGCCGAGCAGAAAGCAGGGGTGAAACAGAACTGGATTAACATGACACTCTATTGTCAAGGTCGAGCTTAATTAAGCGTGAAGTTATTAACCTTAGGGTCCAAAAATTGGACTCTGAAATACATTACCAGACTTGTCTCCTACCCCATAAATTTATCTTTTACCCTCGCAGTTTTGACGGAAAGATTTAAAAGACTTGACTAATAGAAATGTTCACTGCGGGATGAGATAACGAGGAATTTTACACTTGATTAGCCTGCGAACGCTGCCGTTAAGGACACCTCGCGCGTTAGGCTCCTACCTAAGCCGGCGAGCAGGTTGACGTCTGCTAAACACGTCAAGCACACCATTTTCTTGTTCAATAAACCGACGATGCGTTAACATTAATACCAGTGTTAACTTCTTACCTGTCATAGACGTTCAGGAGCCAGTTAAGGGTCAGATCCACACTAAACTCGTTACTTATCATAGTATAATCCGCGGGCACCTCAATGTTCTCGTAGATAGTCGTCAGCACCTTCACCATCTCCGGAACACCGATTAACATGTCGTTAGAAGCGTTTTTAAGATTATGCTGGTCTAATGCTGAAACGACGTTGGTCAGAGTCACAAGATCCACTGTTGATGAAATCGAATATTTTGGTCATGGTTTTTGCTTAAAAACAAAACTAAAAATCTCGCAAGATTCAAATTCTGCAAGCTACTGGATTTAATCGTGGTTCTACTCCACTCAGCTAGTAGCCCGGAATAAACTGAGGCGTAAATATAAAATAAACGACAAAGTTCAGAGGGATTAACTGTAGAGATAACAACAAATGGCATTAAATTGTCAACTTACAGCTAGAAGCCTTTTGGATGCAACGTAGTTTCATGGCTGTTCTGTAAGCGCTGTACTTGATATCATTCAGTTCGGCTACAAGACAGACAATTAAAAAATGTGAACAAAACGATTCCTTGCATGTAACTATCTGACAGGTTTACCTAGGTAAACTGTCAGCAAGTCAAGTTTCCCTAGGTAAAAGTCTCTAGTGTGACCACAGCTAATGCCACAGTCATGAATTGACTAAACATTGACAAAACACTTTACTGTTATCTTTGAGTCAATATAAGACGTGGTCTTCGACTCTTCGACTCACCGATTTGATGGTAAAGTTCTGTCATCTTTGGATGGTCCCACTGTGTTGTTTCCGTCTTGTGACTGTAAAACAGGACAAGATACGAAAGATGTGGGAAATGAAACTTACCAAAGAGGGTTTTTTTCCAAATTCATTTGTCAGTTTTCCGACAACTACAAAACAAGACATCCCTTTACAGAGATTGTTAAATCTAACAGTATGTGAAACTTGAGAGGTTACAAAAGCAGACAAAAGCCTCAATAACGGTCAATAATTGATAATAAACCCTAAAGACAAACAAAAACAAGGACATTAACAAGCCAGAAGAAGAAACGACACTTACTTGATGTAATAAGGAACCTTGTTTAACGCTACTGCTCGTTCCCAGGGCGGCTCGACACTCGCTGTTGAAGAAAATAAAGAAGTTTGCTTGTTTGCAATTACAGCTCTCAAAACAAAAGTAACTTGTAACACTGTGGATCACTTGAAATGTCTTCAGTTGGTTTTTGTCTATCGCTAGAACACTTACGTCTTGTTGAAATACTAAAGAAATTACTTCCAAAAGGAGTACGCTGGTACTAGTTATTTTCGATCCATTTTATCAGTTATCGCGAGATCATTCAAAAAACAACAACAACAGCCACAACAAGAATTTCATCAGTGGCTCTTCGCACACAGTGAAACCTGTATTAGGCGAACATCCTTGGGACCCTCACTAGTGTCCGCTTAATTCAGGGTGTTCGCTCTAAGCAGGTTCTACTTAACTTTGAAACGATATCGTTGAACAATGGTTAAGGAGTCTGAGCTGAAGTTTTAGAAGTAGAAAGCCCTTGAAGTGTCCGCTTATTGCAGGTTTTGCGCAACAAAATGGCTTAATATCGGTGTCCGTTGAATGCAGGTTTATTTTACAGTAAATGTAGGAGGAACATTTTGGGACTCAAGCTAGTGTCCACTTAAAAGAGGGTGTCCGCTTAATATGGGGTCCGCTTAATACAGGTTTCACTGTACTCAGCTAATACCGATTTCTGCAAAACAAAGACCTTAGCTCTGGTCGTTTACTAACCCTGTAGTCCTTGTATCGAGGACATGTCAATACTAGAGTAAGCCTCTTGCATGGCGTGTTGCCTCTGCAACAGTTGAATTTGCAACTGTTTCCATCGCCGGTACAACTGGTCAATCCGGTTTTGTAGGGCTGGCGAAAGAGACACGCCCTTTCGTCTGAGCTCGCCCTCTGTACTACTGAGAGTCTCGAACATGTTCTGCAGAGACGCGATTCGTTCCTGAAGATTCTGCAACACAACAAATATCAATTTAGTCAACTTACCGGACACAGAAACGTAACGTAACTCGTAACGAATTAAACGTAATCAAAGATGATTTGAATCATTTGCACATGGAAGACGTGGTTTCCCCTTTTGAAAGTTGATATAAGAGTTAGAGCGTTCAAGCTTTCAAGCAGGAGGTCTCACAGCAGTGCACAAAAATAATAATTATACGCTGCGTTATTACTCCGTTATTGTCACACAATGCTCCTTTACACTAACGGCAGCCCTGTTGCGTGACCCCCAAATAACGGTTACCAAGGAGACTTCAAAGAGGGATAGAGACAACCAAACAAGAGATCACGATGCATTATAAGAACGTAGCTGTCGTTACCTTGAGATCATCCATCTGTTCTGACAAGGAATCGATTACAAGATCTTGTACTGGCGTCCAGGTCGATTTGACTTGCTCGGCTTCAGTTAGCCGCGCGTCTATCTCCTCCATCTGACCCTGGAAAAGCTGCAACTTCTGTTCAAAAAGAAACGCAGATCACAGGAATTTTAGGAAAGCATTGGATAACATTAAATCGTTCTTTCATATAACATCGCTCTCTGTTTACTTGGCACGACAAGAGTGCGAAATCCTTTAGTTTAAAACGAAGTCGATATCCCGGTAGAAGAAAAATGCAACAGTAATTACCTAATATATGCTCTGCTTTTACAGGTCACTTTTCAAGCAGTATTCGCGTCCATAAATGTCACGTCCAAATCGTCACATTGAGCAGGGTGTGACAAAAAAAAAAAACGATACGCACCTAGCCGGAAGTCTTAACAAACATCATGATTTACAGAGGCGGTCTATAACCTTTAAAATACGAGGGATTTTAATTGTTTCCCACAAGAAAAAGCAAAAACCCCACTTAAGGTAGTAAAATACGCTAAAACATTAGGAAAAGTAAAGAACACCGCATTTCTCAAAAGACAACAAAACAATAAATTTGCAAGTCACTTTTTTCAAACCTCGTGTTTTCGAGCACGAAATATCAAAAGATCGTCAGGCACGCGTACTCAAGATCTTACCACAACTAAAAAAAATATTTGAAACATTTCTGCAAACAAAGAGAACATTTCATGTCCCTAAATGTTACGACCAGAAAATTCACCTTTACAGCAATCCCATCAACTTTTTGTTAATTTTTTTAAACGGCACTCGATAAAAAGGCGAAGAAAACAACCCTTAGCTGGTGACTCGCGGGCTGCTAGCTCTCTTTCTTCTGGTCCTTTTGTCCCAGGTCAGTTTTGTCAAACATACTGTGTTAACCGCCGAGAAGAAAAGTACAAGCCTATTTGTAATTCTCCGTCTTCATAATACCACCACAAAAATCCCGGATTATAAAGTGATAGTTGTATACAGATACTTGAATTTCACACGGAAACATCAAAGCAATTAACTTTATAAATATAAAGGGATTTGAACCCTTTTTTCACGAACCAAGCTGCTTATTAGCGCTTGAGTTAGATAATCATTTGTGAATGCAGATTAGTGTCATTTTTCTTCCAGGGCAACACCCACAAGCGTCAACTCTTTGAAAACATTTACTTCGTACACGATAATAAAGCACGCACTTAGACATTCCATAATATAAAACAAACCGTCATACATTTCATGGTTTAGAAGATAGCCAAAATTTACGTTCAGTGACGGTGGAATAAAGCAAGCTTTTTAGAGAGGTCAAGTAATATGGCAGTTCTGATTTTGAGTTATTTTGGCCCCGTACGGAATTACCTTTTAAATTGAAGGAACATAGCATTTTACTAACAAGGAAAAACACCAAAGAAATAATAATAAAACAAAAAGGAACAAGGATGGTTAGAGATGGAGAAGATTAACACGGATTACAAACGACGAACTTGAAAAATTTAGGCTGAACTTTTTTAGATGCGCAAACCGTGATGTAGCTCATTTAGTGAAATATCAATTTCATAACTAGCGCAACGGCGTTTTAAGAACAATATGGTCCACGCACACCCTTGTACAAAATTCAGCCAGACGCACTTATCAAGGCTATCAACGGAAATTGAGCAACGATTGTCATTTTCCAACTCACTTCAATATTTACTTCATTTTAATTCCCCTAAGGTTTGCTAGCATTTCTTTCGCGTTTTATCTATTTTAAACACTACCGCCTCGAAATTTCATTCAATTTTGAGACAATTTTGTGAGAAGCAGAGTGTAGTAAAAATTGCGTGACTTAGTAGCCAATTGAATTTCACTTAATAGCCAATCGAACGTATATTGACTCCAATAACAAGGCGTGGAAATAAACTTACATACAAGGTCAGTCTAGTATTTGTTCAACATTCAATTCAAATTGAAAATAATACGTAACCATTCCATATGCACAGAAGTGATAACCCAAAATACCACATCGTCTAATGACTGAATGCACCTGGAATTTTTTTTAGCAACTAGACGTGGATTACAACTGCATCCGTTTTCGCTCAATGAAGCAAACTCATGCGAAGGTCAAGGCAATGCTTCCCTTTCGGGTTCTTAAACAGACCAACCTCGGATGTTTTGATTTTTCCCACCTCCGTAAAATATACGCTTGTGCGATAAAATAGCAGAAATTTTTAAGACGTCAGAACACGCGATAATCATACCACGTGCTCAATTAACACGCAGCGTGTGAAATGATTGTAAACTTGCCCTATCTTATGATGTGCAATTAACAGTTTTCGGGGAGAAAAGAGCGGGAGACTGTCTTGTAATTTAAATATCAACCAAACAAATAAATTTTAGTGTTATTCTTACAATTTTTCCCCGCTGAGGGCTCGACTGTGCAGGGCAGCATGTAAAAAATCACACACCAGGTACATCTATAATCGTATATGACATGGTGCTCTTATCCGAAATCTATACACTGTATCACACTTCTAATTCACTACAGACAGGCGATTACCGAGGTAGAGCTCTGATTGCAAACACAAAGCCGTGAAACAAGGCATTTTACACAACAATACGTTGAACGATGTAATATTTAGCATTGATACATGTGCTAAACTGTAATCCGAGGTCAAGTTGTCAATGCTCCTTCTGCCCCCAATTTTCTTTTTTTTTTTAGCTAAACGCTCACCTTGGAGGAACTGGTTTGTTAAATATCGAACGATTAAGAAAGAATACTTGAACACACATCGATAGAAGACTGAAACAGACAACAACAGGATTCTTCTAATCACGTAAACTTATGGCTCGAACAACAGATTACTTGAACGATAGCTTTGAATATTTCCTCTCCATCGTGAAAAACAACTTAAAATTCATTGAATTCCACCTCGTTTCAACAGCAAATTCAAAACTTCAACTACTCCGCGCGTGAAATAAACCAGCACCTATTCTAACACTCACCATGTCGGTCCAAAGTTAGAACGATCTTGACTTTCCCAATTTGATCTGTATTTAATTGAAATCAGCACAGCGCGAGACTCAATGTGAAATACGAGCCAGTATTGCCCGCTTGCGCTGGGCCGGCCGGATATGGCCTGGTTGCCACATGACCTGTAACAGTTTTTACCTCCTTACTGACACTTGAATATCAATCCTTGAGAAAATGTGCATCCGATAGAAGGCGATAAATGCTACAATGAACGAGCCTGAACTAGCAAGGAGGTCCTACACTTAAAACTCAAATAAGCAGAGTTTTAATATATCAAAACATATAATCACTCAAAAAAAAAAAATTAAGCGATTTCCCACACACGATTCTCTCACACTGTACGTATAATCTGAGATCAGAAATTTGTTGTTTTCGTCAGATTGAATTTAAGCCGCTATTTGTTCGGTTAAAACACGAGAAAGAAGTCCAAAATTGATAACAATTAGAAATCCCTGTTTTATCTCCAAAACGAACATAAAACTCCGTCTACCGAATTCAGCAGGAAGCGTCATTTGGGAGCGCCACGTTAATTTCTCTACCCCTGCCCCTTCTCGGTCACCAATCTCGTTCTCCCGCCCCCCTCCTCACCCCTCTTACAGGCTTTTTATCCTTCACCGGAACCAACTTGAAAAAAATTTTGCAGGCTTGAAATGCTTTCCATCATTTCTTAATGAACAGACAATACAATACATCCGAAAAGTTATTCTCACAAAGTAAAAAAACCTGTCAATCGAAATTGCAAGCAATACACGACTTTCATAATGGCGGACACCGCGAGAGTCCTGGATCAAGTTGCATGAAAACGAGGTCAGAAAGGCCAAAAGATCGCGTCGCGTCTCTTTTTGTTTAGAATGGCGAGCACTTCGATATTTCTTACGGAAAATGATATACCTGGCGCTTCTCTTCTTGGAAGAAAACCTGAGGAATTAAAAATCTCAGAGCTTAAATTTTGGCTCAAATGTCGTGGAGACCCGGGAAAAGGATTAAAGACAAAAGCAGAGCTGGTGAAGCGAGTGTATGAGTACATGCGAACAGGCAAAGACAAACAGGTCGTGGATCCAGATCCTCACAAAATCTACAGCCGTAGAAAGGAAAAGCAAGGCACGAGATCTGAGCCTGACACTGAAATCAATGAATCGGTACAGTTTCCTAGCTCTGGATGGGGAACGTCACTGGAAAAGATGCCTATGTTTACGCGGCTCCAGATGAATCGCCATGTTTTGAAGTCTGGAAAAGCGATCGCCAATGTAGATCATCACACCGTTCCGACCGGATTAGTAAAGGCCAGGCGTTTCTTAGAAGACGAATACCTGGAAGATATTGAATGTGTGAGTGATTCCAGACACTTTTTCTTTAAAGGGAAGTGTTGCCATAGTTTCAGAAAAAGCGACCCTCCTCATAATCTGCAAATTGCCCTATGTATCTTGTCTGGAGAAGTGGTGAGTGCTTCTTGTTCGTGTGTGGCAGGAAAAGTTGGATTTTGTAACCACGTATTGGCGCTGATGTTTAAGATGTGCAAGTATACTTTATTTTCTTCTACTACTACTAAAGATCTGAGTGAGGAACAGGATCAACAGTCCTCCGTAGCTTGTACTTCTCAACTCCAGCAGTGGCACAAAAAGGGTGGGGGAAAGAACATTGCCCCTCAGCCAGTAATGACAGTAGAAGTGAGAAAAATAAAGGATGCTGAATCCACTTCACGGTCCGGTATCAAACCGCTTGTGTATGATGCAAGAATGAAAAATACCCATAATCTGGCTACCGAGCAAAATCTTAAGGAGCAACTGAGAAACATTGATCCCAATATGGGCCTATCTCAAATGGCTAATGAACAGACTGATCAGGCAGGTGTTGGACATGTGGAAACAAAGTTTGGCAAATTTCAAGTTGGCAGTTTCTTGTCATATCAAGTTGCTCTAACAGAATCACACTTTGAGGCTACTGCATCTATTAACTGCATTTCAAGACTCGATCAAGTAAATAACGATGCCTTAAATTATCCAAGGTTTCCTCTAAGGGACATTGACAGCATGGTAATTCCAGATAATTTGTCTGAGAATGACCAGAAACTGTTACAGTCTTTAACTTTGGTTGAAGATGAAATCAATGACCTGGAAACTCAAACAAGGAACCAAGCCGAATGCTCAAAATGGAAGGAAGAGAGAAAATTCAGATTTACAGCATCGCAATATCATTTGATTTCGAAACGACAAAGAAACCACGCTTCATTTGCTGAGCAACTGATGAATCCCACACCAGTTTCTTCTAAATATTTAGAACATGGCAAAAAGTTTGAACCAGTTGCCCTGATGGAGTATGAGAAGTTCATGTTCAACAGAGGGACACCTGTTAAGGTACTGCCTTGTGGACTTGTGGTATCAAAAGGATGTCCAATTTTAGGTGCTACCCCTGATGCACGAGTAGTTGACTTTGGCTGTACTGATTACTTTGGGATAGCAGAAGTAAAATGCCCATACACCAAGTATCATGTCACACCCCTTGATGCTTGCACAGATGCAAAGTTCTTCATGGAACAGACAGGTGTTTCAGAGTGTAAATTGAAGGAAGACCACCCCTACTATGCTCAAGTCCAGGGACAGATGGCGGTTACGGGAGCAAGGTGGTGTGACTTTATTGTGTATACCAGCAAAGGCATTTATATTGAACGTATACTTTTTGATCCTGTTTTCTGGGCTGGACTAAAGCAGAAACTGCTCTCTTATTACTTTGAACATTTTCTTAAGTTTGCTTCTGCGAAGCTTTTCGAGGGAAATTGTCAGGTAAACAACAACAGTGACTGTGAAATCTTGTGCACAGCTACATCTGGTTGACCCTGTTATCTACAGTTTCCCAGCAAAAAATTATTTGTTCTAACATCTCTGTATGTTTCAAACAGAATTGGTAATACCATGCTACTTAATTCATCTATTTTTAAATGTTGTGATTTTATTTGTTGACTGGGAATTAATACCTTACATGAATAAATTCTTACTGTTGTTATAGTTAACAATTTGTTTTGGGTTGAAATTTTTCAAATCAGTTTGATTTTTATTCTCCTTTGTTTCAAAGTATGCTAAAGAATACAAAGGAAAATTAAAATCCAACTGGTTTACAAACTTTAAACCAAAGATAACTGAAACGACAACATAGACAACATGGTCAAAGTTAAAAGAGTCTTTACAGATACAAAAGATGTCTGTAAAATATAATGTAAATCTTACAATAAATAGTCAACAGTAGGGGGGGAATGTTGTCTATCCTAATGCCCAATTAATAGTCCCATACAATCCAGAGAGAGAACAGGTTTGTAGGCAACTTATGGATTAAATAATTAATTCTAAAGTGCCTCACATGAATGTGATAGTCACATCGATATAATGTTGGGTTGTACATTACAACAGAATGCACACACTGCCCACATTTGGTTTACAATTCCCATTTGATGTAGTGGAACAACTCTGTCCCATATGTGAAAATTCTTAATCTTGTTGATGGCACGTTCAACATGTATCCTTAAACTTGCAATTTCCTGTGTTTTTACCACATCTTCTGCAGCCATCTGTGAAGATGCTCCAAGAAAGGGTGGCAAATTTAAACTAACCCCCAAAGGCAACAAATCCTGAATTGTGAATCCCTTATCTGCCATGATGGAGTCTTTGTCATCAAATGGTAGATCTAAAAATCCACTCCTTCTGACAATTTCTCGATCGGAGATAGAACCTGTATACAGTTGGCTTATGAATGTAACTGCTCCACCGGGAGAAATGCCAACCAAACCTTTCAAAGTTGTGTGATTTTTGTAGGAACTGAAAAGTTCTCCATTCAACTGCAAACTGCTTGGCATTTGACATCTAACCTCAGTACAGTCAATTATGACTCGAGTAGATTTGTACTTCCCTTTAAAAGATTCGGGCATTGTAGTATCAATTACTTTTCTGCTGGGCCAAATGTTTATTTGTCCAAACTTAAAGAACATAAAATTGACCCATGTGATAATTATTCTGCTAACTGTGGATGCTGATACATTAAATAATTGAGCTAGATGGTCCTCTGGAAATCCTTGCCTTAGTCTACACATGACCATAAAAAATTCATCAATGGGCCTTAAAGATCTAGCTCTCCCCTTTTTTGTTAGTAGGTCGTCTTCACCGTAATCGGTGTTGTTGTCAGTTGTAGACCGCCAGTAGGAAATGTTCTCACCCCTTTCCCCAGGGTCAAGATACTCAAAAACAGCCATTAAAGTGTCCCAGCTTTGAAAGCCCGTATAAAAAGCAGCATTTGAATCTTTTGACTTACAGTTTTCAAAATTAAATAATCTCCTATTAAGAACATCATTTTGACGCTGGGCATCTTGCAGTTGGCGCTTAAGTTCCTCAATTTCCTGTTCGAGTTTATGAATAATTTTTTTATTGTTGTCAATAATTTCCCTCAAGTAGGCCTCCTGCTCGGTAAAATCAGTTTGTGTTTCTTCTTCGACTTTTAAGCTACAATCTGGTAGATCTGGGACCACTTCGCTTGGTAATTCTTCAACAAAGACAGCTGAGGAAGACAATTTCCGTGATGCACTTTTCGAAGCTGTCAGTTCGAAGTTTCTTTCCGCCGGCTTCTTCCTTTTGCGTGGCGATGTACGAATCCATGGAAACACAGAAGGGACAACTCCTTCTCTTAATTCATTCTTGCCGGCGAGAGATTTTTTAATATCACCGTCCCTGAAATGCCGGGAGCATATCTTTGTATTTTCAGTAACCTTGAAGTGCTTTCCTTCGTCTCTTCTTATCGCGTGAAGCCACTTCTTCTTCATCGCGTTGTCGGTAGGAAATTTAAAATACGATACTTTTGTCCCATCGTCTTCCCGATATCCTTTCTTCGTGCATTCTGGAACACAACAGTGAGTCGGCATTTCCAATTCTTGAAAATAATTCGACCGAATCGAGTCAAAACAGCTGTCCTATTCAACCTTCCTTGGCCTTTGTGTCTCTTTGTTTACATGTGTCATCCTCAAGCGTGGCCTTTCTGACCTCGATGTCATGTTAAAGTAATTACCAGTCCCACGCGCCGTCAGCCATTATGAAAGTCGTGTATGATAGCCACGGCTATTGCTTATAAATGAGCAATTATACTGAACCTTTTTTATGAACTAACACCCATGAATACGCTGAACTATCGAATGACACGTGTGCAACAACAGCGAAGATTACAGATACAAACTATCTTCTTTTACGAACACATTAAGTCTCTTTCTCTTTCCAGTAACAAAAACAAAAGAAAGAAAACAGTTGTCTTTGCTGTTTAAACTAGGACTTACCCTGAGAACTTCGTCAATCCACTTCTGCCAATCTTCTGATCGCTGGCACAACATTGACCAGCGTTCACTCACAGTGTCGATCTGTCGTTTAAGATTCTGCGCAATGCGCGACCGCGGTGAATCCTTAGGCTCGTCAGCGGATCTGTCTGTCTCATATTCTTCCATAACTCTTCGGCCTGAATCAAGAGCACGATCCACTACTAATCGCCTTACATTTAGCTTGCCTTTGAACGCCTGGAGAAAAACGTGATAACAATCAGCCTCTTAATTTAAAAATCTGAATAGCTTATTAGACGCCGATTCCCGGGGAATCCGTAAACAGGTTTCCGGATTTGCTTCTTTACAGCCATGCTACCGGAGGTGATGGGTCAGTGGCCATGAATGCAATTGACTAACCCGGATAATGGTACAATGCTATCTAGTTATGTCGTATTTGGTTCTCTCTTTCGCCACATTACAACAAATTTATGTTTCAGCACTAAGGTTTCTTGCAATGTTCACAGGAACGTGTCCAACAAATTCTTGTAAAGAATGGATACTCATAGCACCTAAGAAATTACAAATAATGATACGCATGTTTCCCAAAGCCGCAAGCCTTTAGACCCAAACTGTTAATGTTAACTACTCTCGCTGATGGCATCTTTTCTTCGAGTTTAAACACGGCTCTACAAGCTGTAAACTTGAAACGATAATCGTGTAAAAATAAAAGTAATTATCATGTGCTCATGAGTGCTCTAAAAGTGATGTTGGCCTTATCTCCGGGCCGACAGAGGCTTGGCGCGAAACACAGGCACTTCAGCGCACTAAGGCTCCATCATCGATCTCTCTTGTTTACTGCCAGTTCTGAGAATACGCTGTAAATTATAAACAACAGACTCCATTTGGCGCGAAATATGCTCAGATATTGTCCGTGGACATTATCTGTTCATCGAAGATCACAGTTCGCTCTTAGAAAACTGTTCGCTTCTCGAAACAGATAATGTCGGTCAAAGGACAAATATCCCAGCGTATTTTTAAACTCAAAAGGAGGCCATTTCGTTTATTGTCCTTCAAATACTTTGGGCAACACGTAAAGTTTTGAAAATTGGAGAATATCGCTCGGATATTTCCCAGTTTTAGCTGTGGCATATTTTGTCACGTGACGCGTTAATATTTGATGGATTATAAGGACAAATATTTACAGCGTGACAAACAATTGACAGCAACTGCTGTAAAAGCTTTGTTGACCTCAAAAGCGCTTCATAACACTTTTTCTTTTTTTATCTCGGTTACAGTATCGTCACCTGGTGCATCTCGTTCTGGTTTTGCACGCTTTCGAGGTCTCCTCCGATTGGTTGCTGAAGAGTTAGCTCCTGATCAGCACGTGCTATCCAATCGATAATCTCCTGTAAGTCCATCAGCAACTGACGCCATTCGGTACCAGTGTCTTCCAGACGGTCACGGATATCCAGCGTGCGAACGTTGAGTGATTGCCACCTGTCAATAAAAAAAGGCGTAAGTGAAGACAGCAAAAAATAACAGTAAGGAGCAATGAACTCGACAACAAATACTCCGTAAAATAAGTTATCTGATATCTGATTATTAAAATAGAAACAAGTGATTGACACCTGTCATTCATGTCATCAAGTTTGGCTTGCACGGCTGTTAGTACGTCGCCAGGCTCCATCTCAGCCATAATCTGTTGGCCATTCTCGTTTAGCGAGGCAAACATTTCCTGGTGACCATTGATGTCATCCTCAAGGAACTGCAAAGCAACATCAGAATAAGTTGAATTCTCTAAATACTACCTTTAAACTTGAAACGTAAAACAACTTTCTAGAAATGCACTGCGTGTTCCGAATAGAGGTACAGGAAATGTACTGAAGATTAAACTCAGTTGAATTCTCTATAAAACAACTTTAAATTGTAGGCACTGATTGAAATGTACAAGTTTCCAGGAACGCACTGCGTTCCCAACAACAACTACAAGAAATGTATTTTGAACATCTCAAAATATTGAAGGTAACTAAATCAGCAGCGAAATTCTTTACACTGTTTTCCACAAACATATCATAATCCTTCATGGGGGAAATAGGTTTTCGTCCTGAGCTCATCCAGTATTTCATTCAGACGATCTTATTTTTCTCATTCTCACAATACATATTCTCTATTTTCAAATTACCCACAATTCACTGTGTTTGCCGCCCCAAAAATTTGCATAAACTTTACTTGTAAATACTCTTGGGAGGTCTGCATATTCCCAAGAGCATTTCACAACAATAGTTTACGCAAAATTTGGGGGGGCAAACAGAGTGAATTATGGGAAACTGGAAAATAGAGAATTGCAGAGAAGAGTTGGGCATAAATTATCGCTAGGTGAAAGGATAAACTCTCCTGACCTTCGTGAATGGATCTGTATTGATATTTCGTGGAGAAATTAGACGTTCATGACTGTGAGGAATCAAAGATTTAAGGAAATGAAACAATGTAGGATAAGACGTACTTTTAATTCCTTTCTCAGTGCCTCCATGTCTTGCTGCTCTTCCGTGCTGGTTGCCTCAACAGCGCTGTCCAATTCCGCCACTTTAGACTCTGCTGAAGTCAGCCAAGTCAGAGCGTTGATCATGTCTTCATGGAATCGCACCATGCGATCAAATGCTTCCTTTAGATGTTTCTTACGAGAATCAGATCTGTAACAATAAAAAATAGTACAATTAAGAGTACAGTAATCTCACAAGGATTATCAAGAAAAGGAAGATAACAGCGACTCCTCTCAGTGTAGAGAATATGAACGCGATTCCGAAAGTTAATTTCTCAAATACAATAATTTCTCAATGGGTATTAAAGACAAAAAGCGCTTCCTTGTAGTTTTAACCCTCTGCCTACTGCGCTAACAATTGTATAGACCGGGAATCAAGAGTTTACCTCTCAAACAAGCAACTCCAACACCGCATTATGAATCAAAACGATTTTTAGTTCCAGAGGAAATCATTTACAGAACTTTACACATAGTGTCTAGTGCTGTTATTAGTTTTGATCCTTTTCAATGGAATATTTTTATCGGTATTTCCATTATCGATGAATGAAAACTTTGCCTCAAGACAACTGACTCCAAAAACACGCTATTATAAAAACAAAACAAGGACCGGACAGCTGTTTGTTTCTTCACGAACAAAAGACTGTTGATGTTTTCTTGTCAAACATGGACTGAACTTGGTTTACACATACAGCGAACTTTATTTCCACTCACAGATAAAACCAATAGCGTTATCTTGTGCCCAAGAAGTTAAGAGTCTCAAAAAAGGAAAAAAAAAATCTAAATAAGGTAGAGAAAGTAGTTTTATTTATAGCGTAATTTTTGAATTTCATTTTGGCAATTAGCTAATTAGCAGGGCCGATCATTGTATATTTATTTTTAAGAAAAGCATTGCATTAGGCTTGGCTTCTGTTTCACTTTGTCAATTAGAGGATCAAACATTGAGGCAAACAAACATAATAACAAACGAAATGTCTCTAAATTCCTTACGCAAAGTTTATTTTAGAGACAAATTGCCTTTCCACCATCTAAAATAAACGAAGAGAGGCAAAACAGTATGAACGTAGTTACGTCTCAAACGTCTCATAAAACAATGAAGAAGCCGCAACAGTGTCAAAATCATATAATGCGACGCAACAATTAATCAAGTGTGCAAAAAAATATTTTATTGTCTGAATAAGAATTCAAAGTTATTGTTGACGTAAAAAGCATCTTCCATCTTTCATTGTCTCCGGAACCTATAATTAACTCAAATCGTTCACAAAGCAATATCTTCGAATGCACTTGCTACGCCATTGTAATGAAATTCCAACCATTCATGGAATTAAAATCGCTTTTTGTAACCGTTTTGAGCTAGACTGCTGGCAGCCGTTTTTTTCCCTAAGGGTCACTTAGACGAGTGTTTAGTCATCGCGATCGCAAAAGGGCGTTATGGCCGTGGCGGAGTAGGGAAGAAGGCGAGACAAGGGCCGCCCATGTCTCGTCTCAGTCCTTTTTAGGCTAAAGCGTCTCGCCTCATAACCTCTTCGAATTTCGAGAAAAAAAGCGACTGCCAGCAGTCTAGTTTTGAGCCACCTTAAGACGCATCTGTACCTGTAGAAAGAGACTACACTAGTGACAGCATCAACTATCAGCTCTTCATTTTATGCCTCAGCACTTTACTTTTGGTCCTAGCAAGTGTTTTTGACCCAGGTCCTGGTTCACAGAAACTGGACAATTCAGGAATGCGCAAGTGCAGCGAAAAAATGCGCATATTGGCCTCAGCCTCCTCCTCCCCCCACCGCCAACCCCCATTTCCCAGTCGCCTTTTGCCTCTGTGCATGTTAAACGAATCTCCGTACGAAACCATCAATGTGAAAATGTGTTCCCCCTAGAGGTTCATTTTCATCTGAAAGGTTTTACACAATGACTCGCTTTAAGGCAGAGGCACAGAGTAACTTGGCAATGGCGTATTAGGCAAGTGTTTTTCACCCAGATTCCTACCTGCTGGTGATGTTGGTCCATCTCTCGCTGAGCTCTGACATGGAATTTTTGAGTTCTCCAGATTCGTAATGAGGAAACTCCTGAACCAAATGCTCGCCGCACTGGTTCACAGCGCTGATACTTCCTCTCCAGTTCTCCACATCGTCTTCAAATTCCTGATCAAATGAGAAGGTAGATATTTTCAGTTCAGAGATACTTCTCTAGTTACTCCTTTGTTACGTAGAGCAGATATTTCTGTACGTTCTATAGTAATACACTGGAAGGATTTCCCAGAAAGGGGTCCCTTTTTCGGACCGGAGGTATATACAAGGCCAGCAATTTCCGAGTTGAAGCATACAGAGGAGACGTGAAAAACTGCCGCTAGGGAATTTAAAAGGGCCGTTCAAATTATCTGGAACAAACGTACCTAACTGCTGAATCAATGAAATAATATAAGCGGTTGCTTAAGGGAAACGTTTGCACAGTGGATGCAGTATTTCCATTGTAAGTATATATATGTACGTTGTAACGCAAGTCTTCAATGCGTGATCCATATGAAAATAACTTTCCCTGCGTGGAATTAAGTTAAGTTCAAATTGTTCCGTTTTATATTTTTTGTTGTAAAACGTCGATCCAGAGCAGTTTTGTCCCGTGTACTAAAAAGCGTACCTTTTCTATGGAAAGTATAAGGAAGAGTTACCTAATGATAAAAGAAACGGAAGGGCTTGGGCCAGGTGGCGAAGTCTCCCCTCTCCTCTCCCCTAAGGAGTAAGCCTGCCAATCATTTCAGGGCTCGAGACTAACCTTTCAGCTTGCTAGCCCAGTGGCTAGTGACAGGTTTGATTTACAAGCCAAAACAAATTTTTCACTAGCCAGACGCAGACATTTGCAAACATAGGAATCGGTATTAAAACTATAGGAGTCGCTCAACAACGAAAACCGAAGTTTCCGCTTCCGTGAGAAATTCCCACAGAACTTTGCAACTCGCCGCCGAAAAACATTCCTATCTTTCAAAATGCCGATTCACGATTTCTCATGAATACTACATCTTTACTTACAAGTTGCAAACATAGGCATCGATATTATGTATCCAAATTTTCGAACAACTGCGAATTTTTTAATTTTTTGAAAGCGCACGTGACCTCCCGATGCTGCGCGCATGAAACAATACATGATCCCTAGAGTTCCGCATGATTTCACGCATGGCTTATCATTAGCAGCAGGCAGTTTTTTGTCGTTCGTCGCTTCTTAGCCCCGGTTTAAACGTCGCATTTCACATGCGCCGAATCAAATACTAATTTTAGTCGACTCGAATGAATAAGTTTGGCTGATTTGATTTAAACGTCGCATTTTTTGCCGAATAAAATTGCTGAGCGCGAGCGATAGCGACGTGTTAATTCCCATTCGAGCAAACATAATTTATTTAACATAATTTATGAATTAGATTCGGCACATGTAAAATGCGGAGTTTAAGGCCCAGTTCAGACGTCGTGCTTTTGCCGTGCCGAACTAAATTCAGGAATTAAGTTCGACAAAAGCACGGCAAAAGCACGGCGTCTGTATCAAACTTTTGCATTAAGTTCGGCAAGCAATTAAGTTCAACAAGCTCTGCCGTGCTGCACGACTCTGGCACGGCAGTGATTCAGACGTCGTGCTTTTGCCACGCTAAGCAAAATTCATATATTTTATTAATGTATTTTGGCGAGATTGCGTTCCCACGGGGAGTTAGGTGGAGAATTGTTACAAGGCATCAGTGAATGCTGAATTTGGTTCGACTCTGGCACCACGTCTGAATCAGAGTTGTTTCTTTGCCCTGCTACAGTCGAACCAAATTGCAATTAAGTTCGGCACGGCAGAAGCACGACGTCTGAACTGGGCCTAAATTAACCGTCGAACTTCAGTCGTATAATCGACTGGATCAATTGAATATTCGACTGAACTCGCATTTAATTGAAATATGTCGCATTTAATTGATTTAAACGTCGCATTTTACATGCACCGAATTCGGCAATTCGATTCGGCGCATGTAAAATGCGACGTTTAAACCGGGCCTTACTAAGAGGAAAACAAACAAAAAAGTCAATCATTCTTTCGCATTAAAGTTCTTGTTTGGGCCAATAAATTATATATGATATTTATTACAGCCGATGTTTTAAATTCTGCACGCTTTGACTCGATTTCGTTTCGTAAAAAGTTTGAAATTAACTTTTATTTGGTTTCCTCTGGGCCTCCAATGTTCGCAAATTTTCTTTTTCACTAGCCAAAATGGCTAGTGAAGCGCAAAAACCACCAGCCAAAATGGAATTTTTATTAGTCCGTGGCTAGTTGGCTACCGTTAGTCTCGAGCCCTGGTCATTTCTTACCTTATGTTTATCAATCTGTTCCTCCAGTTCGCTGACCGTGAAGCCGTACACGTTCTCGTCCTTCTCGAGGTAAGCCTCGGCTTTCCGGATCCACTCGAGAAGTTCTTCCCGAAGTTCTACGAATCTCTTCCATTCCTCCATCAAGTAATCGATTTGTCCCCGCCATACTGCCGAGTTGTCCACGATATTCTCCCAGTGTCCCTTCAACTTGCTGACCTGCACAAGAATGGAAGAATATTATAATGAGCTCCTTAATTGCAAGATTTTTTACAATATTTCGGGAGGAAGTAGGCTCGATTACCAGCCGCTGTTCGGGAAAAGAGCCCGCGCTCCTCCAACGAACTCACTCTTCTCGGGGAGGAATGTAGACCGGTCTCGAGAAAGCGGCGGAAATCGAGCCTAGGGAGGAAGCCACATCAGCCATATCTGGTTTTCATGCTGGTCCTCTGTCCTGGTCGAATTGGAATTTGGAGATGTTGGTTTTTGTGGAGGGAGGAAAACCGTAAAACCCGGAGAAAAACCCTCGGAGCAAGGCGAGAACCAACAACAAACTCTACTCACATATGGCATCGGGCCGGAATCGAACCCGGGCCACACTGGTGGGAGGCGAGCGCTCTCGCCACTGTACCATCCCTACGTGCGTTATACATTACTTAGCCTTCCTCTGAAAACATAAGGAAGTTCATCACATGCTGGGTTTTCTGGAGAACGTAAAACGAAACAGTGGATTTTCCCTGTGTCTTGAGAATTGAGCGTCTTTCTACATGAGTACAAATAGTCTAAGAGACAAACTGGATACTCCAGATGCTTCAATTAAAACATGAACTCAATATACGTAAAGTAATTCCCTGGGATGTTCCAATCGAAGGAGAAAAAAACAAATAAAATTGCTTAGTAAAATACCTTAAACACTAAAAACCAATAACAGCCCAGAAATTGGGAGACTGGGACGGATACGTCAGAAGGCTTAAGAGCGTACTGATAAGTGACGTAGTTTGGCGGTCACATAACCTACCTTGCTATCAATCAGGATCTTGTCCTCTTCTGTTTGTGCATCGTCAATAAGCGTTTGTCCCATCTCTGCAATCTCGTCTAACAAATGTTGTTTGGTCTTCAGCTGCTCATCTATTGACTAAAACCAAAGAGTAGCCATTCTTTAAGACTTGTATATCAAATAAAGGCCCCATCCACGTTACACCGTAGAAATTTGAAAACGCAGCTTTATTTATACGGTTTGGCCAACCGTCCACACTAATCCGTCACTAAAACGGAGCTTTTCGAAAACGTTCTTCAAACCGGAGGAATTTGAAAACGCCGGCTTTGCGTTTTCGCGTGGATGCAGAACAATTTCAAAACAGTTTTTTTTTTTTCGAAAACGATCAAGTCACAATAATCATGTGATTTCTCTGCCCGAATTTTCGTCAAACACAATTCCAAAATGGCCGGTCGCTGTTGCGTTTTCACATTTCTGCAGCGTAGTGCGGACGGAAAACATTTGATGCGTTTTCAGAGAGAAAGAGTTAAAAAACGCAACATACCAACTCCACCTTAACGGATCAACAAACATTTCTTTCATTGTCATTGTGCGTTTCTTCAAACGCGCGTTAGGAAAGGACACGTTCCTCCACTTACACCCTTGTTGTTTCTAAGATAGCACTTCGTATCGGTAACATTTGACGCACTCTACACAAGTTATCACGCCACTGATTCCTTGTTTACCTTTTGCTTTTCTAGAAGTCCGTCCATGTCCTCGGAATCTCCAAGCACAGTCTTTTCTGTCTTCATCATCTCCGACAAGGTGTCCAACCAGTCGTGGAGTTCAGACACTGCTTTGTCGAACTTCGGCCACGGAGATGCACTCTCTTTAGGCCAAAACAAATAAACATGTGAACAAGTTCCTATCACGGACAGCTATCTAATTCACACACACGTAATTCGTAAAATTAATCTCAATGGTTTCATTAACAAGCAAGCACTTAAGAATAAACTATGGGGGTGCCGTTGGCAGCAGGTAAGCATTCGCTACATCACAAGCTGGTAATTCTATGTCGTACGGAGAATAATTTCCTCATATAAAACCAAAATTACATTGACAGAGTATGCGGAAAACTGAAACATCTTTTGCGCTTATTTACGTGCAGAATATTAGATCCACTTGGTCCGCTGAAGAAATCCAGTCGCCAAAAGAATCCTTATACAAATTTAGGTGAAATAAAGACTGAACAACACAAACAAGAACATTTGTTGTTACCCTCTCTCCAGTCCTCCATGATCAGTGGTACCCCGGCGTGAACTGACCGCTGTTTCACCTCGACAGCAATCTCCTCGACAGCCTTACGAGGCGTGACGCGGGCCGCAAACAGTTTGGCGGTAAGTGACGCAATTCGACTCCAGTCATCGTTGAGAGCTTTGGCCTTGATTTCCAGTGGTTTGGGGACCTGGTTTCCATCAAGTTTGCTCTCCCGTCTGTATCGCGCCATGCTTTCATTGATGCCGTCAAGCTTCGGTTGACGAGACTTCAGCGACTCTTGAACAGTCTGTGATAAAAACATGGATTACATAAATGAACCATATCTCCCTGAAATTGCTTAGTTTCTTTCTTGGTCTGAATCTCCTAATTCAGCACTGTCAGTGAAGCCAACAGTTTCATTTTTGGCCTCTTGAGATGAAAACAAAATGCGAATTAATGCCTTTAATATTTATTAGTCTTTTCAATGAAATGGCAGAGATTGTTTGCTCACAACCCGTGAAACACCTCGTGTGGCACAATTCCACTTTTTGAAACCACCAATCACATTCGAATCAAAACGGGCGAATGATAAAGTCAAGCATGCCAGCTTGACATATCTAAAATGCTCCGTGTCGTAAGCTAAAATCCGCGAGCTGCATATCGCAGTTTCAGAGAGCTTGTTCGTATTCCTTTCTCCACAGACACTCTTTTGATGTAACAAACCTTAGGAACGACAACTTCTTGGTTGTACTCTCCACTTTCTTGCTTCTCTAACAATTCCCTCGTCGTAGAAGCCCACGAGCTTAGCTCCTCTAGATCCGCTAGGAACTCCGACACGCGCCTCAGCTTGGACTCCACTCCTCGCGTGCGTGTCGCGATGTCCGCGCGCAGGATGTCCCAGCGCGTGAGCAGGATATCGAGCCTGGTTCTGATGGTTTCAGAGTTGGGTTTGGAGATGGTGGGTTTGGACAGAAGTCGTTCCGCTGTCTGCTGGATGCTGTTCTTTGAATCTTCTCTGTTATTTTGTTCTTGTTGAACCCCCTGTGGCGGAAAACATCACAGCATTATTATTTGAGTTACTTAGCGAAAAATACCCAGCACTGTCATGCACAACTTGGGATCATACCTTGATCTTTTCAAGCAGTTCCTCTAACGCATCCTCGTCAGCAGGGGAAGGATCCTTCGTCTGCAGCTCCGAGTCCGCTTCGTCCATCCACTGCAGCAAGTCAGCACTCTCCTCCAAAAACTCTTCTATCTGCATGGCTTCTTCCTTAAATCTACATCATACGAAAAAGAACAATGGCTGTCATGCGTCGATAGCATGTCAAAAGAAGACCTTCGTTGAATCACTATAGCAGTTTCAAGAAGTGGTAAGCCCCTGAGAATTTTACACTAAGTCACTTTTACTTATAGCACTCCACCAGTTTGAATGCTAATTCAACCATTTTCCAAGCAGGAAGTCCGTAAAGCAATTGCAATTTCAGTATTTAGAAGGATACGAACATCTTCAAATACTCGCTTAAACAGAAATTAAAGTTTATATGAGTCGAAAGAGGTAAGTGCTAAGAGCTTAAAGGAGCTAAGTCACGGTTTCTGCATCTAAAATTTTGAAGTCCGTCGTTTGTAATCCGTGTTAATCTTCTCCATCCTTAACCATCCTTTTTCCTTTATTGTATATTATTATCTCTTTGGTGTTTTTCTGTCTAAGTAAACTTTTATTTCCCGGTTTCCTTCAATCCTAAGGTTATTTTGTACGAAGCCAAAATAACTCAAAATAACGTGACTGAGCTCCTTTAAGGTTGTAACACCCTAACTACCTGTCTCTCCTGTCCGTCACTTGATTACAGATAGACTCCCAGCGCCTGTTCTGTGTAGTCAGTTTATCCCGCAACATGTCAGCCTCCACTGTTGTTGATTTACTGATAATCTCTTGTCCGGCTGTGTTCATGGCATTCACCGTGCTTTGATGACGACCGATACCATCTTCCAGAGCCTAGTAGCAAGGTATTTATAACATCAGTTATTTAATTACCACGAGTCTTGAGTATACCGGGCGGCTTCAATGTAGTATCAACAACGCACTGCTGATAAGTTTTGCTTTCATGCTAGAAAATTTAACTTCTTTCATTCATCGGGCAAACGAAGATTTTGTTTTGATGTACTAACAAATTCTCGTAGCAAACAAAAGAGAAACTCAGTAAGGAGATTTCATATTTCAAGCTTGGAGCTGTGTAAGATTTCATATTTCAAGCTTTGAACTGTGAGTGTTTAAGAAGCTCGCTTTCAAGTGTAGTGAGCCCCCCCCCCCTTCGCTGCAGTCGAGTTTCTAAATGCATTTAAGAAACAAGAAGATAATGTTTGCCGTGCGAAATTTTCACCACAATTGTTACAAATTATTTTGGGTTTTGAAACTTCATATTTGATCTTCAGTTTTAAATAAACTGAAAATAAACGCTGTGATAACGCTTTTATATATAAGAAAAAATTAGAAGTATGAAATCGAATTAGAAACCATTAATTTCTACGGATTACTCTAAGATACCAGGTTTCACCTTCTGTTCCTTTTTGGCAGCGCTGAATTCAATTTCTCCAGATGTTTCGTCGAGAACTTTCTCCGCATGCGTCATCCATGAGGTCACATCTTTAAGATCGCAGTGGAATTGGCGCCAAACTGCTACAGCCTTCTCCCAGCGAAGAGACCGGGCCTTGTAATCCTAGATAAGGAACAAAGAAAATCAGTCAATCAGAAGTTTTAAATCTAAGAATAGTATGCAAAAGGAAACTTTTCGAAAACGTTTACGAAACATTGTAAACTAAACTATACAGTAGAGAAGATAAAGGTTTCTCCGTTTTCGAAGATGACCTTAACAGAACAATTTGCAGTCCACGGCGCCTAAAGCGCGAACTAATAAATACTATACGTGACGGTTCTCAAATACAAAGATTAGCTCGCGGTCAATCTTCGGCAGTGTAAAAACAAATTTAAAACTATTTCGACAACGTTAGTCGATAAAGCCGTACCCAGGAACCAAATCAAGCAACTAGTTGAATTTCTATTCTTTAACACATAAAAGCTCGTATTCTCCCATATTTACCTGGTTAAGGTTATTCCATTGTAACCTGAACTTGCTAGCGGCTCTCTTTACAGCATCATATTCCTTTTCAGTACGCGAAGACTGCACAGTCTCGCTGCGAGAGAGTACTTCCGTCGCACGAGGCTCAAGATCCTCCAGCTTCTCGCTAATCAACTGCAAAAATAATTAAACCTTTCAGAGACCTGACATGAATGAAACGAAGGTAGAAAATAGAGATAAGTTTCTCTGCGCAAAATTATTTGATTTTCAACACTTGTGACGGTATATTTGTCGTTACTCCATGGCTTCCATTACAGTTGTTCGTTTGCGTCGTTACACAGTATCCGCTCTAAGGCTCCGTGCACACTTCGCCGGAGAAATTTGAAAACGGAGCTTGATTTCTACGGTTAGGCCTACCGTCCACACTAATCCGTCACGAAAACGGAGGCTTTGCGTTTTAGGACTTTTAGCGTGGAAAGAAAACATTTTGAAAACGAAGCTTTTCAAAAACGATGAGGTTACGATCATCAAGATGTTTTCCCACCCGAATTTTACTCAAACACAAATTCAAAATGACCGGTGATTGTTGCGTTTTCAAATTCCTCCGGCGTAGTGTGGACGCGGCGTAAAATCGTGGTAAGACGTTGCGTGACATTGCTGCGGCGACTCACCTTCAGCTTGTCTTCCTGTTTGGAGAAGTCTTCAAAGTCTGCCTTCTGTAACTCAGGAGACTCCAGCAGTAGCTCGACCTCATGGACTTCATCTGACAGCTTCCTGGTGTCTTGTACCAGCTTCCATCCGGGAGTCTGTGCAGGCTCGTGTTCCACCAGAGTCACTTGCCAGCGGACTCGCGCTAAAGAGGACTTGGTCATGACATCTTCGCCTTCTGTTGACAGAAAAAAATGAGACGGTAGTGAAGAAGACGAAGTAGGAGAGAATTCAAAAACTTGAATACAAAATAGCAAGCTACTTAATTCAACCCCTCCTTAAGAGAGCCAAATTTAAATTTTTATCATTTATTTTCAATGGTGAAAGGCAAATAGCATCACATGAAAGTATTGAAAATATTGTACTGTTCAATTGGACTGTTCACACACAACACAGCACAGACTCAGCTCGACTCTGTTAAACGATATCATGAATAACTGATTAACCTTATTTCACAAGACATGAAAATGATTAAACTTACATGTATTTCACAAGACAGGAAAAAAGAAAATCGACTATAGTTCGCCGACAACGCGGTAATGCAATCGTCAACTTGAAGTGCTTACCATAACAAAGCAAACATTGTTCACAACTAATCCAAAAGAAAACAGCTGGTTGAATTTCGCTTCACAGCATCTTCACCGTGAATTGGCAAAGCAAATTGAATGGACGCGCAATGAATAAGTAACAACGACTGCTTTTGGCAACATGAGACTTTCAAGAAAACTTTCTCTCTCCCTATGTTACAAGAATAATTTCACTCCATAGCGTTGGTGCAGTGTTTACCGTCTGTCCTCCACGACGTTCTAGCATTTCGTTGCAGCGACAGTCGCAAACTGTTCTGGAGTTATAATAATGGTTGCCTGTTTATTGGACGCCTCTGTAACGTTTTCTTCATAAAAAAAAAACTTTATATTTTCACGATTCACGTAACGGCGCGCGCGCGATTGCCGACAAGAAGTACTAATGGTAGATATAAGACGGTCCATAACGGTGAGAGAATATGTTTTGATTTTCAGTCACGCCAAGCACGAGGCATTCAGGACTGAAAATCTGGAGAACTTAGTATTTTGACGTTCGTCTCCTTGGCATTTAGGGTCAATTTTTAAACAAGGTGTACCGCAAGGAGAATTCGCTTACCTTCAGGCAGGGTGTAACCCTCACACTTGATGTCTTGCTTGTCAGCATCTCGACCAATCCACGCGTTGCAATTGAAAAAGTAAACCTTTCTAGTGGACTTGTCTTCAACGTAAAATCCTTTCACAAACCATTCATGCTTCGGCCCAGTCCTATCGTGCCAGACCTGAATTTTGTGTAAATCTCCCAGGTGAGGAACGTTGTAAACAGTGAATATATCGAGCTGATCGCGACAGAACTTGGTGTTGTATGTCTCGGATTTGTCCAATTTCAGTTTGGGTGATTTTCCTTTCTCGCCAAACAGTTCTACGGATACATTAGACTGTGTGCCGGCATCTTTTACATCACCCGTGTGAACTGTGATGCGGTAAGAGGTGGCTGGAAATAAAAATTCAGACAGAACAATTAGGCCCCCTCCACACTTCGCCGGAGGAATTTTAAAAACGGAGGTTTCACTACGAAAACGCGTCCGTCAAATATTTTCGTGATCACACTACGCCGGAGGAATTTGAAAACCGAGGTTTCACTATGAAAACGCATCAAATGTTTTCCGTCCACACTACGCCGGAGGAATTTAAAAACGCAACAATCACCAGTCATTTTGGATTTGTGGTTGAAGAAAACTCGGGCAGGGAAATCAAATGCTTTTGTCGTGATGTCATCGTTTTTGAAGAGCCTCGTTTTCAAAATGATTTTTTCCCACACTAAAACGCAAAGCAGGCGTTTTCCAATTCCTCCGGTTTGAAGAACGTTGTCGAAAAGCTCCGTTTTCGTGACGGATTAGTGTGGACGGCAGGCCTAACCGTAGAAACAAGGCTGCGTTTTCAAATACCTGTGGCGTAGTGTGGACTGGGCTTTACTCATAAAACGAAACTTTTAACATATAACAGCCCGGTAACAAACCGTAACCCAGTTCATTTAGCTTAATTAAACGGTTACTCAAGATGTCCCACATGATAACTCTTTCACCAACCTCTAACTTGTCATACTTTTGCCGCAACGAAACAAATTAGACCGGTTATGAGAATCGAATGAGAAGGCAATCATTTCAGGAAAAGCGTGTTGATTTAAGGGCCCCAGTCAGTCTCCGCCATTTTCGAAGCCATCGAAATTATTGATATTGCATTGTGACGCGAAATCTTAATGCTTTGCTCTTAGTTGTGTTCCTGAAAGTATGTTAAATTATCTTTAGTAGTTTCGCAGTGATTACCTTCGCTTCGACATGCTCCGAATAAAACGTAACAGCCAAACTCTCGCATGTAAACAAAAACAAAGGTTGACCAGGGCCCTTTAAGATTCTCCCACACGGAATGTGCGAAAAGAGCCAATGTCGCTATTGAGTATTCGTATTCCATGTATCTCTTTGAAGTTCTTCTACCTTACGTAAGGTATATCAGAGCACCTTCCGTTCCCCCACTGGGTCAAATTTCCTCAAAGATCTCTAACTTGCCACCAGTCGTCTCTCATCGTATTGAATATTAACGAGGGACGCGTGGCGTGAGCGTGGAAGCGTGGAGGGTTATGGGAGCCCCTCCTTAATAACTTTACCCCAATCGACTCTCGCTCCTATCAGAGACTCAGAGACGGCTGGGGAAGAGTCAGCAAAGATCTCGTAACACACTATTACGTTGATCTCTCAAATCTTTCTACACAAACAAACTACGTTATCAGCCGGCTTCACTTACTATCCCCAGCAGGTTTCTGATATTGTGTGAACTTGGTGTGAACGTCCCTGAACCGCTTTCTTAACCGCTCAATCTCACGCGGAGACAGGATTTGAACTCCCTGTCTGTCGAGTTCCTCGATATTCTTGAACACCATCTCATACTTTGCTTGCTGCTCCTCGATTTCTTCCGGCTACAGGAGAGTTAGGAACGAACTGTGAGCAAGTATCTGACTAATTAAAGGAATTATTTACACGCATTTCTTGAATTCAATCTACGGCAGCGTTATCACACCAACATTAGACACATAGGCTTCGCTTTTACTGTCTGAGACAAGCGTCATTGGAAAGCGGCGATATCATTGATACAGAGACACAGTACTGTGTCTGGTTGTTTTCATTGTGTCTGCAGTAGTTAAACCATTGCACTTCTAACACAGCAGGGCCAAATGTTTGTTTGCAATTTTTTGTACGTGTGTATGTCTTTTTTTCGGAAAAAAAATCTTTTAAATTGTCATTAGTTTTGTGGTCAAAATGAGGTCGATACGTATGTAAAAATCGCTGAGGATAGTGACCTACTAGCCCGTTAAAATTACTCTTATTTTATTCAAATCTCTTGACGTGTAGTTGAAGGTTTTCTTTCATAGAGCAATTTAAAAACAGCAGAATACAGCCTGGGCACGAGAGTAGACCCAGTCCTTACCTCTACCGACAACCCCTTATCCTGCTCCATCTTCTTCAGCCACGCATCAATATCATCCATGTTGCTCCTGAACTGATACCAGTTGGGCACGATACGAACAGCTTTCTTCTGCTTCTCTACCTCGTCACAGGCCTTCAACCAGCGACTTGACAAGTCAAGCAACGCCTGGTGGATATGATCCCCTCTTGCCCCCTCCCTGTTAGCAAGAAGTTTGCTCTCTTTCAGCAGGTGTTCCACAAGTGGCTGAAGGTTGTCGATTTGACCCTCTGCAGCCTGAAACAGATAGAAAACTGTAGGTCCGCGAATCTGGTCAATAATTCTTATTGGCCAGTCCAGTTTTAAGCATAAAATCAACATACCACAAATTTCTATTTTTAATAAGCGCCATAAACAACTCGGAATGTTGGAAAGGCATTTGAATAGCTGACGTTTTTCCATTTTTTTTCTTTAGTATTTTGTTTGTTTAGGCAAAGGTCTGTTTCGTCATTATTGCACAAATCCAACGAACCTTGATTTTCTCGTTCACTTCATTCTCAGATGATTTCTTGGGGGACTGGATATCATTGATGAGGTCTTCAAGACTTTTGACATCCAACAAGATCTGATCCAAACGTCTTTGGAAATCATCGTCAACATACAGACCTGAACAAAACATAATGCATCACTGTCAGTCGATAACTTCATCATGGCCGCCACAGACGTAACTTTTCAAAATTCCGGAGTTTTCCCTTTTAAATATAACTTCCCTAATCAAATAAATACAAAATTTCAGATATAGTAGCAGCCTCCAGCCTCATTTTACAACAGTCCTTTGCCCCCATTCATGTAAGACTGATAATTGAAAAAAAAAAATCTGGCCTTCTTCGTTAAGGAAAAACATCTTTGAGATCACAGTCATCTGAAATGTTCAGTTTCCAGCTTTCAATGGCATTAAATCATTGGTGTTACTACTGCAATTTTCCCTGACTTTTCTTCAAATTGTCCATTTTTCCTGAATCAAAATAAAATTCCCTGACTTTTCCCTGACCTTTGAAGAATATTCCCTGACCATTTCCTGACCTGTGACAAGCCTGTTCATGCATCACGCAAGTTATCCCAGTGGCGTGTCGACAGACAAATCCTCTCCACGGGTCTCCATAAATTTCGTTTCGTAATAGTTACATGTAGGAGAATTTGATCATCGATTTTAACGAAACAAATCTGCGTTTTGTGATAGGTTTTCCTCTTATTAACTACTGAGCTTAACGCCGAAAATAAAAGTTATATTTTCAGGTTAAATAATGAGTAAATAAGTTAATGGTAGAAAATGTGAAAGAATTCTAGGTGGTAGAAGGGTACCTTTTGTCGAAGAAGTACACATGATAATGTCGAGACAGTTTTTCATATGCACGAGATTATCACCATTAAAAACTAATTTGACATGTATTTACCCGAGTCTGGAGTAGTGCTTGTTGTGTATGTCCGGCGTGTTGTGATGGTCTCGACGATGGGTTGTCCACTGTCGGTTTCTGTTCTTTCTTGTCTTTTCAAAACCTCTTCAACTAAACCTCCGGGTGCTGACGAAACTGTCTTGCGTTCCTGAAAAAGAAATGACAAATCCATGAAATAGAACAACAGGGAGGTAAAGAAAAAAGTTTTTAACTCTGCATACGAGCCAAATGGCCCAGCAGGCCGGAGCTTATCTCGGTTACTGTAGCATGAGGCGACTAGGAGTATTTCCTCTTCCCCCCTGGATGGGATGCTAGTCCATCGCAGGGTTACCCCAGCATTAAATTCGCCGGTACCCATTTGTATACCTGGGTGGAGAGGCACTGTGAGAGTTAAGCGTCAGGCCTAAGAACACAACACATTGTCCATGGCCAAGACTTGAACCCGGACCGCTCTATCCGGAGTCGAGTGTCCTAACCATGGGGTCACCGCGCCTCCACAGAACTAAAGGGAACAAAGAGCTTAATCTTTGATAACGCGGTTTTTGATTACCATTAGGGAGCTTACGAATCGACGACTTTTGCACGACGCCGCCGTTAGATTGAGTGACATGCTCACTGCGCATGCGTTTCTGAGCACTTCCCAGCTTCGCGCCAAGGTCGACGACGTTGGTGCNAAGCTGTGTTCAAAAAAAAAAATCGACCAAATTGTTATTCATCTGCTTGTTAAGAATAACTTGGTCAGAAGAGAAATTTACCCAGAAAGATAAACCATTGAAATATCGCCAGATTACCTGTAAGAAACATTGTCAAGTAAGTTTGTGAAATTTATGAAACAACACTGAAATCGCTTCAACTTCTCATGAATTAAACTCTTGACTCCTCAAGTGCGATCAGACATATCATTTCTCTTTGTAATATTTATCCATGTTTAGTGAAGCAGACAGGTGATTACAATCAGTACAAATAAATTCTCATATCTAAGACCACAAGAAATGTGTAGAGATAACGGGAGAGAATTGATGGTTCAATCTTGGGCTTAAAAGAGTTAAGGAACAAAATCACAGCAGGGTAAAATAAACACTAACCAAAAAAATACGAATTTTATCGACCACTTTCACAAAACCTTGGAAAAATCAGAGCAGAAATATCAATTTCAGATCAAAATTCATAGTTATCAAAAGGATAAAACAATGAATTCACAAAAAGCAATCGAGTGTTACTGAAGAGAACTGTGTTGTTTTTGTTCAGATTTTCTCTTGATATCCCGGAAATACAAAAAGAGGGTCAACGAAAACTAAGATTACACGTTGGGGATCTTCCCGGATGTCCTCAAGTTTGACAGTGAGACAAGAAGAGACAATTGTTTTCAAGGCACGGCGAGGTGACTATCCCCATTCAATAAATATGCTAGAATTCAGGATTTCGTTCGACGCAATCACGCGATCCTGCCATTATAACAAGCTGCCAAAATTACACTACTTGTGAGCTTGTTTACAGGTCATTGCAAGCCATCAAATCCACCCTTTTGTGCTTCCATGTTTATCAAGACAAATAACAACTATATGACTTTCTTGTGATTTTCGTCGCTTAAAAAAAAAACGTTTCGAGTCTACTAACCTGAATAAAAGCTCAAAATTCCTGTTTAAGTCAACGTTCAATTATTTGGAACTAAACTTTGACAACAATCAATGCACAGAAATTAAAGAAACTAAATCGCTCGAAAACGATTTCATCAACCTTTGTCCTGCAACAAGACTGGATTTTCCCTAAATATACTAACAAATAATTACCAGAAAATTCCCACGAAAACCAAGCCATGTGAAACCACACAAAAAGCAATCAGTAAAGAGTAGAGGACATATTAGATTCCAAATTTGTTTTTTAACTTTAACCCTTGTGCGTCAGTGTAAGAGCTAAGTATAGCAAGATCTCCCACATGGATGGGCAGCACAGCTGGCGTAATATCTCAAAGAGCTTTATTCTTGTTCATCCCACTGGGAAAGGAAATTATTGTTTCTGTTTTCGAGTGGATTATTGTGAAGAGCTGCCATGAACGAAGAGTGTGGGCGGAATTGAAATCAAAAGATCGCGAGTTCAAATCCTACAACTTCAAGTAATTGAACGAGGCCGGAGACTTCTCTAAAGGGCAATGTAAAAAAAAAACCTTAACATTCAGTTTTTCAGAAGTTTAACTCGTTTAGTTGCTAGCTTGGAGTACCTAACCTCATTGCTAAATACTTTAAACTCCTTGAAATATTAATTTTGAGAAACTGGTGTTGGACCAAGATAAACAAGATACCTCAGAATTGACTTCTTTGTTCTGATAGATTGACAATGTATGAAAAATTTCTAAGCATGGTTTTTCTTGAAAAGCAAGAATTTGACACTGAAAAGTGAAATTGGTACTTTCCTTGTATGTAGAACCTAAATGATATATAGAGATCAGTGAAAGTATATAATCTCAGTTTTGCCTTGTTTTCCTGTGCATACGAGCTTTTCTCTTAAAGGCTTTAACGCATTTACATCGTATATACATTTTCTCACACGCGGTCACTCAGACAACAGCAGTACATTTTCGCTAATTTTTCACCCTACACGAAAACAAAGATTTGCCTCTAAAGGAGAGCCTTTGTCAGCTCGTAAGCCAGTTGTGCTTACTGCGCATGCACTTACCTCCTCCTTTGTCCGCACTTTCTTCTCCAGTTCCCTGTGCTCGTGAACGACTTCCTCGACTCGTCTTTCGACTCCAGTCCTCTTTTCTTCTGGAACTCGCTCCATAATCTGGAACCCAAGCTTCCTGACTTGATCCAAGTCGTTTTTGATGGTGGACAATTCATCTTTGTATGTCTGAAGAGAGAGAGACACATCGTTACATCGGTAACGTCAACGTTTAGCCATTACAACATCTTGAAAAGTTTAGCCTAATTTTTTTCAAGTTCGTCGTTTGTAATCCGCGTCAATCTTCTCCATCCTTAACCATACTTGTTCCTTTATGGTTTATTATTGTCTCTTTGGTGTTTTTCTATCTTAGTAAACTACTATTTTCAACTTTCCTTCAATTTAAAGGTAATTTTGTACGTGGGCAAAGTAACTCAAAATACCGTGACTGAGGTCCTTTAAAAAGAATCACAATATTCAGAGAGGAAGTGACATCAGCCTTGGCTAGTTTTCATGCAGATCCTGATCGAATGGGAATTTGGAGAGGAGGAAAACCGGAGTACCCGGCGAAAACCTCTCGGAGCAAGGCGAGAACCAACAACAAACTCAACCCACATATGGCATCGGGTAGGAATCGACCCCGTACCACATTGGTGGGAGGCGAGCACTCTCACTGCTGCGCCATTCCCGCTGTCCAACTAAGTCGTCACTAACGCATCGCAAATCCACGAAGCTTCTAATGACCCGCGCGATATCACGAACGCGTGCCTTGACGCGCGCGCGTAAGATCTCAGGAAGACTTGTAATAACACTTGTTCAATGTAACTTCATTCAACGGGAAATACACACATATAAATCAAGGAAACCACATGCGTGTTAAGCGTATTTCCCTAAAACACCGCGCCAGGCCTATTCTTTCCAGGTCTCGGCTGGTAATGGTCCCTACCAAAAGCACTCGTTACGAGACCAATTTTTGCGGTCGACCACTGATGTGCCCGGTAACTTAAGTGAAATTTTAATAGCTTTTAATTCTGTGGTAATTTCCGCGCTTCAATAAGAAACTTCAGCAATAACGTAACTTAAAAACCTTAACTGTAAAAGGTGCTACTTTCCACTTTGCCACCGTTGCTAAGCCAGATATTAATGGTTTATATTTGAACGTTTCTAGACTCGCCCAAAACAGCATCTCCACTCTTTTGAACAAATTTGTTGTAAAAATTTGCACAATGTGACTTAAAGTTCATCTAGCTATTAGAAAACGACAAAAAATTCCAATGAGGCAAGTATACGTGAAGACTTGCCTTAACCTCAAAAGTTTTCGGTAAAAGTGCTTTCCTGATGCTTCTGATGGCAAATATTCCAGGAAAGAGCTATCCTACATGTATTTTTGAAAGTGAAAACATACACGTAAACGCACGACCGGCTTTAAAAATAACACTAATTTTCGTAGTTCTTCGTGCAACGTTCTGGGTTTCTTACAGAGAGGAAAAAGTACCTACAGAGAACATGCGTAACAAAATAAAACGAACAAAATTACCTCAGCAACAGATCGCAACTTGTCGCGAAATGACGAAAACATCCTCCAGCAAACTGATCGCGAAAAACAATCTACATCACAAATCTACAAACTTAATTTGTCGACGGAAAAAGAAAATCCTGGCTCAAAACAGTCACTACAGGAGGTCGCTTGAAAAATAGGTTGTTGAAACTACAGTAAGATTTGTTTTTACAATTTTGAAAATATCGTAATTGTAATTCAAAGCAACAAGGACGGCTCAATGACACAAGGTTTATTCAATTTTCGAACGAAATTCTAACACTTTATTGCGGTTTAGCATTTTCGACAAAAGAGCCAAAGTTTAAAAATACAAATAGAATTCAGATTCTGCCGAGAAAACAAACCCGAATGCAACAACTGTAAACAAGATTTTGTTCGATTCCCGCAAACAACAAAATATTGGAAACAAGCGCCATTTCAAGACTAAACTTCAAACTTTCTATCTCAAATTCATTAAGATGACAAAGGCCTCACGTTATCTCTAGATCTTGCGTTCGCATTTAAAAATCTGCGCGAGGTTGAGTCTCTCAAAGAATTCAGTAATTTTTCAATATGGATAGTAATGAAGCCCGTCCCCTTGGTTAAATAATTTTCTTTTGCAATAATGTAAAAAAAAAAGTTTTATGTTTTGAAAAGCTGCACGATTTATTTTACTTCTGAACGAGTCTGTGAGTATTTAATGCTGATTACACATTGAAATAACGCATTTCAAAATTACCTCAAACATAGACGTGATACAAATTTTAGAAAAAAACTGATTTATGTCTGTGTTTAAGAGCGCTGTTTTAAATCCCGAATTATTCATTTAAATCATGCTCTTGTGTTCACAAAAAGATGAGTTATCATCCACGATCTTTCCTTCAAAAGGAAGATTCCAGAAAATAATCCTTCATCAATGACAGCGTTATAAAATCTTCCGAAACAAACTGGCTGATAGCAGAGCTAGAAAGTGACCTGACACCGCATGTTTGAAAAGTTATCAAATGATTGACTAGGAATGCGAAAAAAAGAAAGTTTCCGCGACTACAAGTTCTCGCCGCTGAGATGGTAGCTAAAAGTACTAAATTATTAATAACAAAAACCAATCACCTGATGATCAAACTTCTCGCCCACAGCTGTCTGCAGGATTATCTAGCCCTGCTACATGTAATTCTTTATCATATTTTAAAAATTATCCCAAACCACAAGTCTACCGCAGAGCAACAAAGGGTGCCTTCCCTTGGGGTGATCTGGATAAGGATCAGTGATCCAAGATCACTCAGATCATGGTGCATCAAAGAGGCCAATGAATCCACTCTGGTCACGGATTCATCGGCTCCTTTGATGCACCATGATCCAAGTGATCTTTGATCACTGATTCTGATCCGGATCACCCAAAAGGAACGCGTCCAATAAGATTAAAACTCAAGTGCTTACGATTCAACACTATAGACAAAACAAAGACTTCCAATGGAGGAAAGCAAGCGAGAACTGAATTGAATACGTAATACAGACTTTCGAATTCGAACACAGCTAAAACGAAGATGTATAGCGTTTTTTCCTTCATTTCACCTCTCCTCAACGAGGCAATTTTATACGGCATAGTAATTAAACTTTGACATCCTCAATCCCATCTTATCCAACTGAGCCCGCAGCTATCGTCTCTGCGGTCAGTTGAGTTGCTATGCGAACTAATCAATCATTGTATGACACGTTGATGGAACCACATCCCAAGAGCGAGCTTGTTAATTCATCAAGGAACCTGTTTCGGATACTCAAAAGTATTTTCCAATAGAAAGTTTCCTAGTGGCTATTGACGTTTTGTTTCGTTTTTTAGATCTTTTTTTTTTTCGAAATCTGGAGGTCCCTGGTTCAAATCTTCCATTCTACCGCCATCTGGATTTGTTTTTAGTAGTCACGAGTTCAACTCCTCGACCGCGTTGGGTAAATAACCAACTTGTCAGCCTGCGACCAGTTGGGATTCTGAATAGTTTATGTTCAATTTGAAAGATTTGTTTATTTATTTATAGTGTTCCCAATCAGCACACCAGTGCGAAATACATTTGACACTTAAGTAAAGTTATTTATTTTAATTATTTTATGTTAATGAAGAAATTGAACGAACAATGATTACGCTTACCACACATTTATCCAGGAGACTCTTAATATTCCTCGGCTCAGCGGACTCCAACTTCAGCTTTTTGACGCCGCGCTGAATCTTGTCCAAATCAGTTAATGTCTGTCCGTGAAGCGTATCAAACTCTGCCTCTAGTTTCTTGCCGGGCTGTTCTTTGACTTCTCTAAACTTGGTGTGGATTGCAACCCACTTTGTTCGGAGCTGCTCCAGTTCTTTAATCAACTTGAGGTACACCGAGCCTTTGGGAGTATTGCTCAGTTCGTTGCACGTGGATTCGACTGAGTTCAATAGCGATTGATTCAGAGAAAATTCCTCTTCTAAAGCCTGTTGTTGTAGGACATAGAGAGTTAATTATAATGGACATTTGCTGACAAATAAAATATGTGGTTTGTAATGTAGGACGAAAGATATGTTGTTTTGTTTTTGTTGTTATTTTGTTTTGTTTGTTTTTTTAACGTTTCTTGATATAAAGTTGTTTTTGTTGTTGTTGTTGTTGTTTGTCTCTTCGTTTTTTTTTTCTTTTCTTCGTTAAACCCTAGTCAGCCTCCGCCATTTTCGATACCATCGAAATTATTGATATTGCACGGTGAAGCGTAATCTTGTTGCTTTACAGCAAGTTGTGTATCTGAATGTATGTTTAATTATCTTTCGTAGTTTCACAGTTAGTTCCTTCGTTTGGACATTCTCCGAAGAAAATATAAAAGCCTAACTCTCGCAACTAAACAAAAACAAAGGTGTGGCTGACTAGGACCTTAAAAACACACCTTAATTTCTCTCTCGTCCATCTCCTCGTGTTTGGTCAATTTAGAATTGATGAGCACTTCAATCTTGATCACCCACATTCGAATCGTCTCCAGGTCTTTCCTCATCTGCTGTCGCCGCTGTATTTCGCCTTCAAGAACTTGACGAGTTTTATCGACTTTACCACGAACATCAGACCAACGATCCTGAGAGTGATAAACAAGGACAACAAAATCAGCGACGCAGAACGATTTATAACATGCCTGACTCAAGACTACAAAGAAGTGTTCGAGCGCTTGACCAATCATAGGGAGCAAGGAGTCTTATTCGACCGCATTTCCAGCTAAATTCATCACATACTATGGTTGATAACGCACTATAATAGTACAGTGAATTTAGCCGGAAATACACCTTCCATGCTCCCTTTGGTCAAATGTCTACAAAAAGCGCGCGAGGAAACTTTTGGCATCCAAGGGCGCTGCAGCTTTTTTGTTTATTTGTTTGTTTGTTTTGCTTTTTTGTCATTTAATATATTTACAAAATATCAACGTATAAGGCAAGGAAGCGCAGGGAAGCCAATAAGGCTTATGTAATAGACTACCTTAAACATACCCAAGAATTAACAAAAGAATAAAAATGCTGTCATCGGCACACAAAATGATAATAACTTAGGATAAAAAGTAGTTACGTAAAGCTAAACCCGCAAATGCGCAAAAGCAAAGGAAGACCAAGTAAAGCGAAAAAAGCGCACGAAGAGAAAATATACTTACACCAAGAAAGAGACCTTAGTTTAGAGGTGAACACAGCAATACTGAAGGCATTTTGAGTGAGCTTCAGTGCTGTAAGAATTGAATAATAACTTTCGCGCAAAACCATTTATCTTATCATATTAGTCATATTTGAGGTGATTTGCATGATCTTCACCTCATAATCATCTAGGTCTTTCCTGATTATCGATACAGCGATTCTCTTGCTCATCAGCTGCCTGGCGAGATCTGGAACCGAACCAGGGCCGCTTTCTTTAATGGCTGCCACGTGACGGTTTAGATTCTAAAATCAAGACAAAAGTGTTACGTTACAATCACACAACCTGAGTGACAGGATCCAGTAGTATGAATACTTAACACTAGAAATTCTAATAATTCTAGTAATTCGTTTACGTCCAAGGCAATTTGATACCACTTGATCAAAGTCCAAACCTTTCGCAGAAATTAAGTTTATTTTTCTCACAGTTTTCCAGGCCTGGTAAACCAATGAGAAGACTTCCAGCGTGTCTCTGCACAAACCCTCTACTTGGTTTCCATTCCGTTAATAAATTAAATAAAGGAATAAATTACAATATTTAGGGAGGAAGCCACATCAGCCTTAGCTGGTTTTCATTCGGGTCCTCTATCCTGGTCGAATTGGAATTTGGAGATGTTGGTTTTTGTGGAGGGAGGGAAACCGGAGAACCCGGAGGAAAACCCTCGATGAAAGGCGAGAACCAACAACAAACTCAACCTACATATGGCACCGGGCCGGAATGAAACCCGGGCCACAGCAGTGGGAGGGGAGCGGTCTCACCACTACGCCATCTCTACTCCCCATACAGTTGATAATCCATATTGTTTTCATACCCTTAAAGCATCGTCCAGTTCGGCCTCAGTTCCCTCAAGCACGTAATAGCTCTTCTCCACTACACGATCGATGTCGCCCATCTGCTTGTAATCCCGCTCCGTCAACACGTGAAACTGCTCCAGCTCTAACTGCGTCTGCTTGAACTCATGTTGCCGCTGTGCAACCTTGGTCTTCAGTCGGTTCCAGTCTCCGTTCAACTTTTTCAGGTTTTCCTTCAAGAGGGCGGGGCTTCCCTGTTTTGTGTTGTCAATCATTTGATTGGCAGTTGTGTTGATTCGCACCACGACTGGGGCGCGTTTAGAGATATCCTGTTGGAGCTCCTGCAAGGAATGGACAGAGAATATTTACTTGTACCTTTTCGTGGGGAACGTTAAATAAGTTTAAAACTGAAGGCAAAGTATCACTACTAACGAAATGGAAATTCATCGTGATAGAGAAAATACGATTCTTCATTCTCTGCATTCTCGCAATCTGCAATCGATAATTCCACCACATAAGCAAATAGTACTCAACCATATCAAACCAAAAGGGGCAAAGTTAAAAATTATTCCGTCCACAGAACAACACGTTAAGCCACGTCAACTTGTCGTGTCAGGTGAAACTGTCGCGTCAAGTTAACATGTCACGCAATTCCACCCTGTCACGCAACTCTACCTTGTACTGTTCCGTCTTCTCCTTGGTCATTCCTCCACTCGTTATGTCACCCTCATCATCAGCAATTGACCTTTCTACCTGCATGATCCAGTGACTAATCTCTTTCATGTCGTGTGTCAGTTTCTGGTATTTCTCCAGGGAAGCTACCAAATTATCTTTCACTCTCAAAGCTACCCGAACAAGGTCGTCCCAGCGCCCGTTCAACTCTTCCAGCTCGTCCTTCAGTTTTCCTGCAAAAGCTGGTGCCGCCTTGCTGATCATATATGTACCGGTCTCATTCAATGAATCAAGCTTGCGTTGAAGCTTGGTTACGTCTCCTTGAAGGGCCTGACAATAATAAGAGTGGATAACTATAAGGTGTGAAATTTAATAGATTTTTCGAGTTCTTTCAAACTTTCACGAAAACGTTCAGGACTTCACAGGAAGAAAGAAATACAAACCTATAATATCCAAATTTGTAGAGCTACCTGTTTTATAAATGATTTTGAAACCAACCACGATATACGTGCTTATAACCAATTCAAGACAACGCGTAAACACGTTCGAAAACTGCTCAGTTAAACAAGGCATGTGAGGTTTATTTATTGACTTGAAAATTTGCAGTTTAAAATAATTAGCCAAAATGCAAGAAAGGGACACGGAAAATTTAGTCTGTTCGCAGATCAGTATTGAAACCAGCGGTGTAAAAACATATAAATTAAGGCTTCTGGTTTTTGCACTACTGCAAACTTCGCGTTTTGTCAACTGCATTTTTCCCCACTACACAACATGAAGAGTCTTGCTACTTTAGTTGTTCTAGAGGTTTACGTACGTGAATGAACTGACCTCACTCTGATCCAATTGAGCTTCTAGTGTTTCCGGATCTCCAGAGGCTGGCTCCTGATCTTTGAGGAAAGCACTTGCATCTGTCATCCATTTGAACAACCCTCGGATCTCTTCAGTAAACTGACGAGTTTGATTTACGGCCTTCGAGACCTGACATGAAAAAAAATAAACAGTCACAAACTGCCCAAAGCATCATTCTACGATGGTATATTGCAAAAAGACTACGTCCTCTAAAGGCTAGTGGCCCGCAACTGCTGGCGAACAACTACTGCTCCTGTAGGACGAAACTACTACAGATGTAGGAGTATTTCTACTCCCCCGACCCCTGGACGGGCTACTAGTCCTTCTCAGGAACCCCTTGCGTTCTCTCAGGGTTTCCTAACAGTTTGCCGGTATCTTTTTGCACTTTGAGTGGAGAGAGGCACTGTGAGAGTAACATGTCTTTCAAAAAACACAACACGATGACCCTGGGCAGGGCTTGAACTTAGACCGCTCAAACCGGTGTCGAGCACACTCAAGCGCTGCTATCTGGCTTTTCGCTTTGGCGTGCGAGCAAGGTTACGAACAACGTACGTTGTGGAACGAGCGACGTGGTGGAGGGGAGGGCGCGGGGGCTTTTAAAAACTAGACTCGCGCGTCTCTTTCGCCTCCTAGGCCCAAAACGCGAAATCATGCTCGCAGGCTATCAACATCAGGACAATGTAACTTGCAGTGAAAGCGAAAGTGAAAAGGTGCAACAGTCACATGATCTATTTTAACGTGCAAAAAGCTTCATAAGTTTCTTACTTGATTCTGTCGCTTCTCCGCATGGAGATTTATGTCCCTCCATTTATCATTCAGGTCGGAGAGTTTAGATCTCAGCTGTTCTGATCTCTGTCTTGGTAGGGATTTAACAAACTTGTCCCCAGTGCTGTTCAGATAATCCATGTTCCGCTGCTGTTCTGTCATGTTCGACTGTAGTTGCTGTTAAAGAGAAACACGAACGCTCGTTATGTCGTGCGTGATAGCGTCCCTAGATTACAGGAAATCTCAAGGACAATGGTCAGACTTTGCAAGAACAGCACTAGGGTACTTGATAAAAGACAGCAAAACCATTAGCAAGAAAGGATGAAGCCCCGTTCACACTACGCCCGAGGAATTTGAAAACGCAGCTTTATTTCCACGGTTAGGCCTCCCGTCCACACTAATCCGTCACGAAAACGGAGCTTTTCGAAAACGCTCTTCAAACCGGAGCAATTTGAAAACGCCGGCTTTGAGTTTTAGTGTGGACAGAAAACATTTTGAAAGCGGAGCTTTTCGAAAACGATGCCATTACAGTAACCATGCGAATTTCCTCAAACACTAATCCAAAATGACCGGTGATTGTTGCGTTTTCAAATTTCTCCGGTGTAGCGCGAACGGAAAATATCTGATGCGTTTTCAGAGTGAAAACACTGTTTTCAAATTTTTCTGGTGTAGTGTGGATGGGGCCTGACTAACGACGGACAAGATGGAAATGGATTAACACTGTTGACGCACTTGTAAACACAAGGCTGAAGTTTGGTGGTGGCGCAAATTGAATCTCTTTCCTAGAGATCACTGCATTCCGTAAATATTTTGGGCAAAACCTTTTCTCATAAACGTCAAACGCTTGCTTCGCAAACGTCAAACAGCCATAATAAGGACTTTTCTGTCTAACCAATCTTTGCGCTCATAACATCATGTTGTTTAACGTGCTGGAAGGTAGCATAAAAAAATAAGATTTCGTGCATGCCAACCTTGTACTTCTGTAGCTGTTCTTCAAGTGAGGCTGTGTCAGTGATGAGAAACTCCGAGCCAAGTTGTGACTCCATGTTTTTAATCTTGAGTAGAACGGCGTCCATCGTGCTAAGAAACTGTTTAGGTGGCCCAGACTCCAGCGCGGCCGTAAGCTGTTTCTGCCTGTTTTCCAAGGTCGTCTGCGCTTTTGACCAGCGGTCGTCAAGGCGCTTCACCCCTGACTGGAGGTGTGGGGTGTGCCTGTCTTCCTTACTCAGGTTGCGTGACAATTCTCGAACCCTGATTAGGGACACCTCGTTGGTGCTCATTTCCTCGAGTTTCACCTTCAGTGGAAACGATTTTCACAATGTCAACTCTGAAATTCTCCTTACTAATCGCGGTATATTCTTATGGTTCTAGTAGAGAGAATATCTCCTTAGAGATCAGTTGCAACTGGGCCATTAAAAGGGTTGCCTTGTCTTTTCAGGTTCATCACTTAACCTGTCACGTTTCGTTTTGGTTGATTATCACTATTTTGGTGTTTTCTACCTTGGTTAATTGATACTTAGTGAGATTTTCGATTTTCAGGAAATACTGTAAATTCGTAGTGTTGAAGAAATCTAGAGATGGGGCGCGTCAATTCCAAAATGTCTTAATACACTCGAATTTTCTTAGTGCCTTAACAGAAAGATGTATATACGAATCGAGCAAATGGCTTAAAATACTACATCTTAAAGACGACTTGATGGCAGAGCACATAAGACCGTCACCCTTTACATAAATGGCTGCCAATTTAAAATTCTTTTGCATGCATTTGAACTAGCCTCCCTAACTTCAGGTGAGAGTAGAAATTCTTTTGAATTATCAACTTAAAAACGAGGTTAGTAAGGCTAATTTTAATACTTACAAGAGAATTTACCATTAGAAGCCATTTACGAAAAGGGCCTATTGAAAGATTAAGGAACATAAAATCAAGACGCTTCATTCCAACAATCTAATTCCCTCAAAATTGATACAATTCACAATCCTCATGTTTTAGTCGGGAGGTGTGACCTTAACTCACCTTGCATAACTCCAGTTGTGACTTCATTTCGTACTCGTTCTCAGGCACCTCTGCGCTAAACTTGGTCGTGACTCTCTCCACGTCCTTTAACACCGCTTCCAATGTCACCATCAAGTCCTGTACATCCCGCCTTCGACGCGCCAGCTGTGCTTTATGTCTGCGGTCGTCTATCAAGCTTCCGACGGAATTCCAGCGGTCTGAGAAGTTGCTAAGCGACTGTTCAAGAGACACTGGTATGTTGCCTTGGTTACGGCAGTGCTCGATCAACTCTTCTCCTTTCTTCTGCACGGCCGTCACGCTTGGTTTGCGCTGTCTTCTTGCGTTGTCCAGTGACTGAGGGGAGGGGGAAGGAAAGATATAACTGTCAAACTCGGAAGCCAATACAATGTGATAGTTAACAAAATTTAACGGCAAACGTTCGTTAATTTCACTGATACATAGATTCAGCCAAGCCTTAAAGCGGAGCTCCTGATTACATTAAGTGAACCTGGCTTGAGCCTGCGATCCGATCGAAAACTACCTGAGCAGCGGTCGACTTAAATAGCACGTGACCACATATAGTTGGTAAACAGCATTCGCATCCGTCCAGCTTAAAACTCCTAGGTCCCTCCTCAGAAAGAGGCAGCTAAATTTTTTTTTTTTCATAACGATTGTTAACTGACCCTTTTATTTTATTTGAACAAGCATCCCTTACTTCACGTACTGTAATACTACACTGCTAAATAAAAATACTGATTGTAGTTAGGTTTACTCCAGGAACAACACTGGAGAACCGACTCGACGCACTACATTAAATTTTCTACTTAAATATAAGACAACTGTCAGAATTTACAGCAGCAAAAATTAATAAAATATCATCTTCCTCTCCTCGCCTACAACTAGCCACAAACCCGCTTTCGATTGTTCAAACACTATCAGGTCATCTAATGATTTATTTATCATATTCTTTCGTTAGCTCGTTCGTTCGTTCCTTCAGTGATTCTCGTCATAAAATTCTACAAAACTGAAATGTTACCTCGACAAGTTCGTTCTGCTGAGCCACTTTATCGCTGGTAATGTTCTCGTCATCCAGATTGAACGCGGGAGACTTGAGCAGAGTTTCTGTGTCACTCATCCACTGGGTCTTATCAGCTAAGTCACTGTGAAAATGCTGCAGCTTTAACTCCATACCTTCCAACTGAAGACAAAAACTCACTTTAATGTACTGTTGATGTGTAATAGTAATCCACCGTAGGAAAAAAGATGGCGGCTGCACATTTTACCACAATACCTTGCGAATGTAACACAGCCCATAAGGCACAAAGAAACAAGCCACATTTTTACAATATTTGCCCTTGTACTAAGGACATCGTGTATGCTAGGTTTGAAGATTTTATAGCTCTTCTGTACGTTTTTATGAACGTTGTTAAGGTTTTCGTGCGCTAAGAACTATGGGTAAATGTACCAGTCGCCATCTTTTTTTTTTTTACGGAGGACTGGACCGGGTGGAATACAATTCAGGGAGTAATCGCGTGAGTAATTTCAAAATCGCGCGAGGTCGATTTGAAATTACGAGCACGATTACTCCCTGAGTTGTACAACACGATGACCAATTACTAATTAATCGTATCTGTAACAAATTTCGAAATAAAAAATGTCTTTTGAGAACTCCTTTTGAGCGAAAAAGTCAGTAGCGCTTTTAGGAAACATTAAAAAGGAAGCCACTAAAGCGCGCGTAATTGACGTGGCGTTTCCAATGGATGACTAATCAGAAACCAAGTTAGCATGGATTTGAAGGCAGAGAAATTAAAAAGAAAAAAAAATGGAAAACCAGCAAAAACTTCTGAAGAATCAAAACAAAACTTTTTGCAGCCCTATACGATAGGTTCCACTGTTAACCCTTACCAAGGCTATTCGGCTGGAGACTTCCGTGGTTATTTTGTTCCATCTGTCGTTAAACTCCTCCATTTTCTCTTGAATGTCAGACACTCCGGGAGAATTCTCCTCCAGATTCTCAGCGACCTTCTCGGCAGCGAGATTGAAAGTTCCAAATGTAGCTTGCTGAGCTTCCATTTCTTGTTCCATGTTCTGTGAACGAAAAATTGTAAAAAATATATTGTTTTGTAATATTTAAAAGGTCAGAGATACAAAACTTCAGGAGGCGGCGTAGCCGAGTGGTTAGGGCGACGGACTTGAAATCCGGAGGTCGTGGGTTTAAGTCCGGCTCTGACCACTAAGCTGGAGGTGTTTCTCCGTAGACCCTAGTTCAACTCCTCGGTCATCCTTGTAAATAGCCAACTGCTTTGCCTCCCGCCAGTTGGGATTTTTAAGCCTATTATGTTTAATTGAGATATTTGTTTCTTCCAGTTTAAGTGGCATGCCTGTGAACTAGCTAAATGTACTAAGCGCATTGTCCACTATAAACAACAACAATTGAACATTTGAAATTGGATTTACGAGCAAGCAGCATGGGAGAGAAAGAGAGGAATAAAATTGCACAACAAAATCAAAGGCTTCGAAAAGTATGCTACAGAACTCTTACCGTGAACATTTTGAGAGCTTTCTTGACCACTTCACCATCACCCAAATCAATGTGTTTCATATCTTCAATCTGTGATTCTTTTTCCGACAGCCATTTTGACAGTCTTCTTTCTTCATCCCTGTATTCTTGCCAGCTTTTCAGCACGTCCTGAAGCATGGTCCATCTACGGTGTCAGAAAACAAAACAAATCTTCACCCTCTGTGAAAACTATGAAGCAGACCTGCATTTTTGCTCTCACCTCTGCTCTGTCCACTTGCACACATTCGACCAGCGTTCTCCAAGAACCGCTAGCTGTTCCTCCAGGTCAGCGGTGGCGCTCTCATTGCTGCTATCGTCAACTACAACAACCATATGCGTAAGCGAGTTCACTTGTTGCTGCTGCTTCTCAAGGTCTTCCTGGAAAAACTGTCACGCAATAACATGAATCACGATTAAAGCATAAACATAACTGAAACCAATTCAACATTGCAACACAACAAACGGCTTCAACAATCCCAGCTTAATAAGTTTACCGTACAAAGGCGCTCGTGAACCCTCGAACTATAAGAAGGGAGGAAAGCGATTATTTACGTTGTGAAATGGGTTAGCAGAAAACTATTCGGACAAAAGTGGACGTAAGATCGTCATGCGTATTGAGCCTTATTGACAAAAACTGCTTTGTTTAAGCTTGGTCGATCTTCTGGTTGCCTCATTTACTACGAGGTCTGTAAGAAAAATTTACTGTAAATTAATTCGGATAAGAAGGGGGGGAGCGACCACCCTATAATCTAGGGGGAATCAGGTACTGAGGAGAGTGTGAACGGGGGGGAGGGTAGAAGCAGAGAACTCTTGACTACTTTGAACTTTAAAAGATTGTTAGCTTTAAATTACATTATCTGACACACTACACACCTAAGGAGGGACTGCGAAAATACTATAATTCGCGAACAACCACAAACAAGCACAAATTACAACTGGCGCATACAATATTGACAGGGGAATCAAATTTCAAACCTTGTGGTTTTCCACTTGACGCTTTACAGTGTCAAGATCAGATCCAATTGGTTCAGAGCTGTTGATTCTCTGCTCTGCCACTGTCAGCCACTCAGCTAGAGCGTTAATTTGCTTCTGTTGGAGATCCATTAACTGCACGTGAAGTCTGAGAAAGCAAATCATATCATTTAATTTTCAAAGAGAAACGCACATGAAGATCGGACAGTAGAAGTCGTTTTAGTGTGTGGCGAAGACCATAGGCGCCAATACGAGATTAAGAGACTCTTTTGTTTTTCCTGTGCGGAAGGTGTAAAGTACACAGGGTTGTGAAAGAAAGGGCCGCGGTGGCAATAAACAAATTCTTGAAATCATGTATTCTCAGAATTGTTTACAACATCAGGGTAATGACAGGACTAAACCAAAGAATACGGTGCAATGTTGTGGACTTATAAAAACGCGGAGTGTTGCATTCAATGCGCACAACATTGACAACATGATTTCACTGTCTGCAACATTACTGAATACTCGCAACGTGGCAGGTGTTGCCACTTCCTTATGGCTTCAAAAACTGCGCACCGTTTGACCCCTGCTCAAGATTTTAGGCAAACCTTTTGAGGAAGAACTAAATTTTCTTAAATTTTGTCTTGTAGCTCCAGATCACAGCGTGGAGGCAGCGTGGCCGAGTGGTTGGGGCACCGGCTTTGAAATCCGGAGGTCGCGCGACCAAGTCCCGCTCTGACAATTAACCTGGGGTTGTTTCTCGGTAGCCCCGAGTTCAACTCTTCAGCCACGTTTGTAAATAACCAACTGGTCTGCCTCCGGCCAGTTGGAATTTTTAATCATCTTGTATTCATTTGCATTATTTGTTTCATCATTTGTCTCCATTGGCCCTGAAAAGCTTCATTGGGGGGGATTGGTCAATTAACATATTTATTGTTATGTTATTTTTATCACAAAACCAAATTTCTAAACCTTCGCCATTTCGTTACATACTTGGTCTGCCTGTCCATAGCCGCCATTCTCAAGGCTTCCCATCGATCGTTCAGCGAGATCATTTGTTCTCGAATCTCGTTTTCTTCCTTCTCATTCACAAGCCCTTCGCTTATCAACTGGTTACCAAACTCCAGCACTGCTCCCACGTCCGACTGATGGGAGGTCAGCTCCATCATGAAGTCCTGGAACCGAATAAAATGCAATGGTCAGTGTGTGTAAGCTTACTTGGGTTCACATTTGAGGGTAAAGGTAAAGTCTGCTTACAAGCCAAGTGGCCCATCATAAGGCCATCAGGCTTATCCCGGTTTCTGTAGCATGAAGCGACTAGGAGTATTTCTACTNTTCTGCCCCCACCCTGGATGGAATGCTAGTCCATCGCAGGGTACCCCAGCATTAAGTTCGCCGGTACCCATTTATACACCTGGGTGGAAAGAGGCATTGTGAGAGTAAAGTGTCTTGCCCAAGAACACAACACAATGTTCCCGGCCAGGGCTCGAACCCGAAGTGCTCGATCCGGAGACGGGCGCACCGCGAGGCCACCGCGCCTCGTTCATCAGTCTTATTTGAGGGCAGATTATATATTGAGATACTGCACTTAGAATCGCCTCCAGATTCTTTGTTCTTTCCGCGCCCGTTTCAGGGACTAAGGAGAACAAACGCTCTGAGAACGAGGTTGCCAGTGCTGTAGGAACTTGAATTTTAACAAAACGTTTTCGATTTCCGCTCAGAAAACAGTTCACGATCCACAGATGTCTTCAATGTTTTAAAGTCCGTTTTCTTTTGAAACAAGGAACTCGAAACTCAACTGGAATTTCAGTAAAGTTCGTTCAAGAAGAGAAAAGGGAACTTGAATTTATCGTACTAAGAAATCCGCCTTCTGACTGATGCCGTCAAGAATTTAATTAGCAGGGGATCGTCTTTCCCCTACAGATTCACCAGTGTCTTAAACTCCCCGAAATGAAAAACTCCTAATCTAACCAAATACGTCAGCGAATTCTTGGAGAAATCGAAATTAATTCCCCACTCTGCTTGCGTCACCGAATGAAATACCGGCATCCGAATAGCCCGACTAATAAATACACGTATAAATAAGCTTAAAATATTACGATATCTATTTACCTCATGTTCATGAAACTGCTTTTTCACAGCATCAACATCATCAGAAATGTTTTCCTGTGATTCCAAAGTCCTTTCTGCCTGTGACAGCCAGTTTAAGACATCTTGCAGGGCAGAATTGTAGTCTTCCCATTCCTTGAAAGAACCGACAGAATCTCGCACGCTGCTTGTTTCACTAACCATGGAATCAGGCCGCTCCGATTCTTGAGTACGCTCCACCTAGAGATGGAACAAATTACAATGCCATGGTTAAAGACATTTCTTTGACAAGTACGCTTCGAGTTCCATTTGTTTTCTATTGGATTTTTAAACTACTTCCGGACGACAACGGCACATAAAAGGCATCGGCTGCATTCACAGTTACATTCTCGATGGAATATTTCAGCCAGGAAATCGTAGCAATTTTCAAACTGGCCATTTAAAGAGAAGTTGTATTGCTGCTCCCACAGTAAGTATGCTGAAACCGATTCTTCTCAGTTCTAAAAATATACTCTCGTCTTTTGTTTTAGTGGGGGGAGGCCTGCTCTATGGGACTGTCCTAAGGAAGGGGCTCTGTGGAGAGGTAGGGTGAACGTAAGTAAACAATAGACTCACTACAGTTGTGATTGCAGAGTGTTGTATAGGCGGTTCCTTCACTGTGGTACTGGTGGTGGTCACGTATCTAACAGGTTCCCTCTCATCATAACCCTTCTTAACGTGTTTCACAGTGTGTTCCGTGTGGTACGTGCTACTAATCGTGCGTTTGGACACGGTATGCGTGTGCTCTGACTTCTCAATTTTGCGTGACGTGCTGGTACTAGTACCATTCCTCTGGACGGTCATGTGTGTCACGCCAGGCGCCAGCTTGTTGTACAAATTCGAAACGTACATCAGGATCGATTTCTTGTCGGGTCTGTCACGAACAATATCTGAGAGAGAAATTTGAATATAACTTAGATGTTGCGCGAACATGTATTATTATGTAATATATTATGTATTATGTATAAATGACTTTTTCTGAAGCAAAAAAAATCAAGTCTGGCTGGCTTTTCATGACCTGTGGATTGTACATGTTAAGACGGATTCCGCACAAAGTTCGAGCAATAAGTGCAAAAATTATTTACTAAAAATCTACTCACAGCACACTAACTTTTTGAATACTATTTAAAACATCTCACTGTAATTCATTTCTCTAGGTGACCCCACGATTAAATCCCCAAACATTCTCGAGAAAGTTAATGTCAAACCTCGTAAGAATGCTCAAGTGAAGCGTGTGTTATTGTGTTTTCAAAAAAGGTCCGTTTTAATTGAAATATGGATAACTTCAAGTTCAATTTTCTCTCGCGGGGTCAGCTTGAGAGCTTAAGT